AGGGTCAAATGTGGGGAGTTGCTTCAGACCCACTGTTGTCACATTCCTTCCTTCGTATTGGTAATCACCCACACAGATAAAAAGAATAAGCGCACTCGTTTGGGAGACACAGAATCAAACGCCAACAGAGAAAGGCCATTCAGCCCATCGTGTCATCCAATTGATCCCACTCCCCCTGTCTTTCCTCAAAGCCCTGCAACCTTCTCCTCTTCAAGTCTCCATCCTTTGGAAAGTTAGCCCTGGAACAGCTCCCAACACACCTTTCCAGCAGTGAATTCTGGAACACTGTGACTAGCTAAATAAAGAAGAAAAATTCTCATCCTTACCCACTGTGGCTTTCTTTGAACCAATTATCTGAAGGCTATATCATCACGGTCAGGGATTATTACATACATTTCAGATGCTCTGTCCGTAATTCTAGTCAATGTGTCATTCTAAAATTTATAGTTCAAAGTTACAGTATCAACATGTGAATAAAATTAGTTACGAGTGGTGTACCACAAGGATCTGTTCTGGGTCCTCTTCTATTTGTGATTTTTGTAAATGATTTGGATGAAGGAGTGGAAGGGTGGATTAGTAAGTTCGCGGATGATACGAAGGTGGGTCGCGTTGTGGACAGTGCAGAGGGCTGTTCTAGGTTATAAAGGGACATTGATAGAATGCAGAGCTGGGCTGAGAAGTAGCAGATGGAGTTTAACCCTGAAAAGTGTGAGGTGATTCATTTTGGAGGGACAAACTTGAAAGCAGAATACAGGGTTAACGGAAAGATTCTTGGCAGTGTGGAGGAGCAGCAGGATCTCGGGGTTCATGTTCACAGTTTCCTGAAAGCTGCCACCCAGGTGGATAGAGTTGTTAAGAAGGCGTATGGTGTGTTAGCTTTCATTAATAGAGGGATTGAGTTCAAGAGCCGTGAAGTTATGCTCCAGCTATACAAATGCCTGGCCACATCTGGAGTATTGTGTTCAGTTCCGGTCACCTCATTACAGAAAAGATGTGGAAGCGTTAGAAAAGGTGCAGAGAAGATTTATCAGGATTTTGCCTAGAATGGAGGGAAGGTCTTACGAGGAAAGGTTGAGAGAGCTAGGGCTTTTCTCTTTAGAACGACGAAGGATGAGAGGTAACTTGATAGAGGTATACAAAATGATCAGAGGTATAGATAGAGTAGACAGCCAGAGACTTTTTCCTAGTGTGGAGGTAGCTTTTATGAGGGGACATTGTTTTAAAGTGAAAGGAGGTAGATATCGGGGAGACGTCAGAGGTAGGTTCTTTACGCAGAGAGTGGTTGGGGCGTGGAATGCATTGACGGAGAGGGTAGTGGAGTCGGCCTCATTAGGGGCATTTAAGCAGCTATTAGATAGGCATATGGATGATAGTATAAGGTAGCGGTGGAGGTTGGATAGACCTTAGGTTTAGGGTAAAATTTCGGCACAACATCGTGGGCCGAAGGGCCTGTACTGTGCTGTACTGTTCTATGTTCTATGTTCTAAAATGCCCCTTTTCTACATTCCCCATTTAGTAACAGAGCTTTACCCAAGCTCAGCGGCATGGTGCCTCAGGGGTTAACACTGCTGCCTCACAGCACCAGGGACCCACGTTTGATTCCATCCTCGGGCGACTGTCTGCGTGCAGTTTGCACATTCTCCCCGTGTCTGTGTGGGTTTCCTCCGGGTGCTCCGGTTTCCTCCCACAGTCCAAAGATGTGCAGGTTAGGGTGAATTGGCCATGTTAAATTGTCCCATAGTGTTCAGGGTTAGATGGGTTAGCCATGGGGAATGAAGGGTTACGGGGATAGGGTAGGGGAATGCCCTTTGGAGATCCAGTGCAGACCTAATGTGCCAAATGGCCTCCATCTGCACTGTACGGTTTCTATACTTCCACCTCAGTTTCTGCAGTGACAGGTGAATCCACCCACAGCTTTGTAGTCCAGAGGCTAAAATTGTGGCAAAAGTTTCAATGTTAAGCTTTCAGGTTATTTCAAACCTTGTGATGTGCAGGCTAGATGGAGTAGCCATGGGAAATGCTGGCTTACAGGGATCATGTGGTGGGGGGAGCGGAATGGGTGGGTGAGGGTCAGTGCAGACTCAATGGGCTGAATAGCTTCTTTCCACACTGTATGGAATTTGATAAACCTTACGCAGTTTTACAAAATTAAATGTACTCTGCTGGGTGGTAATGGTCGTGTTCTGAATGAAGTAACACAACAGTTAACAAGTGTTCCTGGTTATTCCAACAGCAATAATTTGGAGCATACCCTGATGAAATTTGTTTAGGCATGGTTGAACCACTTTAAGCACTCTCGTTCCTGGCTCCTTTTCACAGCGAACAGCTGCAATTGCAGGATCGAGCAGGAAAAGAAATGGCAGCAATGCTCACCCAACCCCATCCATTCGTTTCTCTTCCACATTACCAACAATCTCCTCTTAATCTCTGGTTCCTCCACACTCACCTTCATCAACAAGGCAAACCGAACTCGTCCTCACCCTTAACAACTTCTCCTTTAATTCCTCCCATTTCCTACAGACAAAGGGGGTGGCCATGGGTACCCGCATGGGCCCAAGCTATGCCTGCCTCTTTTTGGGATACGTGGAACAATCCCTCTTCCGTAGCTACACTGGCCCTAAACCCCACCTCTTCCTCCGTTACATTGATGACTGTATCGGCGCTGCCTCGTGCTCCCACGAGGAGCTCAAACAGTTCATCAACTTTACTAACACCTTCCACCCCAACCTCAAGTTCACCTAGATCATCTCTGATACCTCTCTCTCCTTCCTGGACCTCTCTGTCTCCATCTCTGGTAACCACCTCGAAATTGATATCTATTTCAAGCCTACCAACTGCCACAGCTACCTAGAATACACCTCCTCTCACCCACCTTCCTGCGGGTGTTCGATCCCCTATTCCCAATTCCTTCGCCTCTGCCACATCTGCTCCCGAGATGAGGCATTCCACTCTCGGACATCCCAGATGTCCTCGTATTTGAAGGACCACAACTTCTCCCCTTCAGTGGTCGAAAACGCCCTCGACCGCATCTCTCGCATTTCCCGCAACTCATCCCTCACACCCCCTTCCGGCAATAACAACAAACCCAGAATTCGAGATAGTAGGAACTGCAGATGCTGGAGAATCCGAGACAACAAGGTGCAGGGCTGGATGAACACAGCAGGCCAAGCAGCATCATAGGAGCAGAGAGGCTGACGTTTCGGGCCTAGACCCTTCATCAGAAAAGACCCAGAATTCCCCTTGTCCTCACGTATCACCCCATTAACCTCCAGATTCAACATATCATTCTCCGCCACTTCCGCCACCTGCAATCTGATCCCAGTACAAAGGGTATATTTTCCTCCCCACCCTTATCTGCCTTCCGGAGGAATCACTCTCTCTGTGACTCCCTCGTCCGCCCACCACCCCTGGCACTTTTCCCTGCAGCCGCAGGAAGTGCTACACCTCCCTCCTCACCTCCATCCCAAGCCCCAAGAAAACCTTCCACATTAAACAGATGTTCACCTGCACATCCGTTAATGTGGTATACTGTATCCGCTGTTCCCAATGTGGCCTCCTTCCTATAATGAGGCGACCAGAACTGAACACGATATTCCAAGTGTTCTATGTTCCATTTTCTATCTGCATCAAGGCAACTACCTTGCTGTAATTTGCACATTTTACTGTTTTTTTTTTGCTCTCTGGTGTCTCCTCCGAAACTCACACTTGACCTCTCAGGTCTTGTAAACCAGACACGCGTCTTCAAACTTTAATTTCTCTCCAGCATCGTCAAGCATATGGTCACCTGTCGAAACCATGCTCAGCCTTCTCATGATTTAAAACATGTTTATTGGTTGGACCTGGGCATCACTGGCTGGGCAGCGATCCTTGCTTATCCCTAGTTGCCCTTGAGAAGGTGGTGATGAGTGACTTTCTTGGCCCACTGTAATATATGGTATAGAAACCCAATGATGTTGTGAGGGAGGGAGTTCCAGGATTTTAATCCAGCAACAATGAAGGAACGGCGATATATTTCCAAGCCAGGATGCTGAGTGGCTCAGAGGGGAGCCTGTGGTAGTGCGTATACCTCATGCTGCCCTTGTCCTTCTTGATGGTAGAGGTCATGGGTTTGGAAAGTGCTGCTGGAAGGACATTTGGGTGAATTTCTGCAGTGCATCTTGTAGAAGGTACACACGCTGCGACTGAGCGTCGGTGGTGGTGAGTGATTAGAGGGAAGCCAATCATGCACTTTGTCCTAGATTGCAGCAAGCTTTTTGAGCTTCTCAAGAAGAAGTTAGGTAGAGTTCTCAGGGCTAAAGAGATCAGAGGGTATGGGGGAGAAAGCGGGAATAGTTGTATCACCAGCCATGGTCGTATTGAATGGTGGTGCAGTCTTGAAGGGCCGAATGGTCTATTCCTGCTCCTGTTTTCGATGCTTATCTTTCTATATGAATGTGAGCTGCTGTTGGAGGAGCCTTACTGCTGTTACTGATACAGGCATCCTCACCTTTGTTAAGAAGTTGACAGAATCTCCCAAGGTCTCTCCCTGGGGATTTCTGCTAACCCCCCAACCGCAAACCTCCCCACCACCCTCCCCCCCCTCCCCACCCCCCAACACCTAAAGCTCAAGGTCAGGAGATGGTTGGTCTAACTTGTCCATGCTGACCAGATATTCTAAATTAATCTAGTCCCATTTGCCAGCATTTGGCCCAAATCCCTCTGAACCCTTCCTATTCATATACCCATCCAGATGCCTATTAAATGTTGTAATTGTACCAGTCTCCACCACTTCCTCTGGCAGCTCATTCCATACACGCACCACCCTCTGTGTGAAAATGTTGCCCCTTAGGCCCCTTTTAAATCTTTCACTTCTCACCTTAAACCTATGCCCTCTAGCTTTTGGACTCTCCCACCCCAGAGAGAAAGACCTTGTTTAAACATGACTGAACATTGCTCCGGCTCTGGTTCTGTTGGCACCTAGCATTCCAATGTGTTTTGATGTTGCATCTTTTACAGCTACACTATCAGATTCTCCAGGAGCATGTCCCTATGGTTCAAGCCCGAAGCCAAACAAAGGAAGCCAAATGTGCATGTGCGATAAAGGGTTTCGTTTATGTCTGACAAAAGACTGCACAACTGGACAGTTGTATTGCAAAGGTAGGGTTCTCTTGATCCAGCGAGTGTCTTGCTTATTCCTGGCATTTCCCTGTTGTTTCTGGGTTAATATTCACTGGAGATCATCTTCTTCACTTGTGCTGAAAAGGCACAGTTCAGGACGGTGATGAAATAACTCTCTGCTCACGTGCATGGGTGCAGATCCAAACACATGTCCCACCAACACCATCCGAGTGAAATCATCATACAGAGAACACCATCCGATTTGAGATAACAAGGTGTAGAGCTGGATGAACACAGCAGGCCAAGCAGCATCATAGGAGCAGAAAGGCTGACGTTTCGGGCCTAGACCCTTCATCAGAAATGGGGGAGGGGAAGAGGGTTCTGAAATAAATAGGGAGAGAGGGGGAGGCGGATAGAAGATGGATAGAGGAGAAGATAAGTGGAGAGGAAACATACAGGTCAAAGAGGCGGGGACGGAGACAGTAAAGGTGAGTGTAGGTGGGGAGGTAGGTAGGAGGTGCTACACCTGCCCCCACACCTCCCCCTCACCCCCATCCCAGGCCCCAAGAAGACTTTCCACATCAAGCAGATGTTCACCTGCACATCTGCTAATGTGGTATACTGCATCCGCTGTACCCGTTGTGGCCTCCTCTACATCGGGGAAACCAAGCGGATGCTTGAGGACTGCTTTGCAAAACACCTACGTTCGGTTCGCAATAAACAACTGCACCTCCCAGTCGCGAACCATTTCAACTCCCCCTCCCATTCCTCAGACGACATGTCCATCCTGGGCCTCCTGCAGTGCCACAACGATGCCACCCGAAGGTTGCAGGAGCAGCAACTCATATTCCGCTTGGGAACCCTGCAGCCCAATGGTATTAATGTGGATTTCACAAGCTTCAAAATCTCCCCTCCCCCAATTGCATTCCAAAACCAGTCCAGCTCATCCCCACCTCCCTAACCTGTCCTTCCTCCCACCTATCCCCTCATTCCACCTCAAGCCCCACCCCCATCTCCTACCTACTAACCTCATCCCGCCCCCTTAACCTGTCCGTCCTCCCTGGACTGACCTATCTCCTCCCTACCTCCCCACCTACACTCACGTTTACTGGCTCCATCCCCGCCTCTTTGACCTGTCTGTGTCCTCTCCACCTCTCTTCTCCTCTATCCATCTTCTATCTGCCTCCCCCTCTCTCCCTATTTATTTCAGAGCCCCCTTCCCCTCCTCCATTTCTGAAGAAGGGTCTAGGCCCGAAACGTCAGCCTTCCTGCTCCTCTGATGCTGCTTGGCCTGCTGTGTTCATCCAGCTCTACATCTTGTTGTCTCAGATTCTCCAGCATCGGCAGTTCCTACTATCTCTGACACCATCCGATTTAAAACTACAGAGAGCTGTGTGCACAGCCCAGACCATCACGGAAGCCTACCTCCTATCCATGGACTCCATTTACACCTCACGTTGCTGCGGTAAAGCTGCCAACTTCACATCAAAGACCCCTCCCACCTCTGTAGTGCTTTCTTCCAACCCCTTCTGTCAGGCAGAAGATACAGAAGCTTTGAACACATGCACCAACAGGTTCAAGAACAGCTTCTTCTCCGCTGTTGTGAGACTGCTGAATGGACTCTGCTAATTTCACATCTAATGCTGATCTTGCTTTGTGTACCTCCTGTGCAGCTGTAACCTTGTATGCCTCACTCTGTCGAAGCACCCTACGATCTGTATGACCTTGTATGGTATGATCTGGCTGCACTGCTCGCAAAACAAAACTTTTCCCTGTGTTTAGGTACATGTGACAACAATAAGTCAAGTCCGATCAAACCAGGACAAAGTAGCCCCAATCCATTAACAGCAAGACCCACTGCATCAAGTCTCATGGTGGCAGTACTACGCACCATTTGCAACATGCTTTGCCATTCCTGCTGTGGCCGAATTTAAAAACGAGAACCTTTTTACAGAGTATCTTCTAGATCATATATACTGCAGCTGATGGTGGAGGAGTACGGGGACTAAATCTAGAAGCAGGGATGATGAACTAAAGGCTTTATCCCAGCCACATTGTGTTTCTTTAGTGTTGTTCTCTCTACATTTAAGCACTCCAATTGTGAGTATTTCATTATATGGTCTCGGAAAGACCTCAGGAGCCTATCAAATGGACCACTGATCACAGAATTCGGTTTTAGACTGGTAGGCAGACTCTCGATAAGACTGGTTCAATTCAGCATCCTGATCAAGGACGGGAAGTGGGGTTTGCCAATAGAAATGCCATTAAATACTCATGGGAGGGAAAGGCTGGGGGTTGGGCGGGGGTGTGGGGTCCAATCCTTGATTCCCAGAGACCAGTCTAATCCCGGGTGTTTGTACTGGGAGAGGGTCAGTTAGGTTGGGGGCCACTCAATGGTGGTTGATGGGCCAATATAGGGGGAGGAAAAGCCTATTTATTCTTACATTGTCTTCTTCCTGGAGTTGGCCTTGCCTCCCTCCAGCTACCTAATTTCCCAAGACCCAGCAGATCCTGCCGTTCATCAGTAAATCTGCTCGAGGAAAAACCAAAATATCGAAACTTCCAACCCACCTCCTGCATTTCTGCCTCGATTAAATTCAACTCACAGAGTCTTCGAGTCATCCAGCACAGAAACAGACCCTTCAGTCCAACCAGTCCATAATCCCACACCAAACTAGTCCCGCCTTCCTGCTCCTGGCCCATATCCCTCCAAACCTTTCTATTCATGTACTTATCCAACAGTCTTTTAAACGTTGTAACTTTTTAATTTATTCATTAACGGGCTCAGGCAGCATTTATTGCCCATCGCTAATTACTCAGAGGGCAGTTTAGAGCCAACCACATTGCTGTGGGTCTGGAGTCACATGTTGGCCAGAACGGGTAAGGATGGCAGTTTCCTTCCCTAAAGGGCATTAGTGAACAAGATGGGTTTTTCTGACAATCAACAATGAATAGCTTAATTATATCCTTCCTCTAACTGGGAGCGACCAGAACGCACACAGCACTCCAGAAGAGGCCTCGCCAATGTCAAGTGCAGGAGGAGTGGGTTAGAGACGGGTTTGAGATTTTAAAAAACATTTGACTCAAACCCAATCCATCGGCTTTATGGATTTTGAAATGCAGCTCATCTGTACCACAATGCATGACATATCCATGTGCTGAACCGGTGAAAGACTGTACAAAAGATTATATTTTGTAATTTATTTACAGATGAGGACGAGTGCAAGGTCGGTAAGCCGAAATGTGGCCCAAACGCAACCTGTGTGAATACAATTGGAAAATACTGCTGCTGGTATCGAGAAGGAACACAGAGTGACAGGAAACATGAATGCTCAGGTGAGACATTATTAGGATGACTGATGTAAAGACTACTTTAGAAGCTGGAAAGTTAACAATAATTATTTTTGAATGTTTGTGGACAAAACAGTATGTATTTTGTATCCAGCCGTGTATTGACATGGCTAGCCTCAAAGGAAACAACCCACAAAAGATCTTTGTCATGTGGATTTACCAATGATGCTTTAATTCCCGGGCCAACTCGGAAAGATCTCCAGCAATAGCGATGCCAGGCCCAGCAGCCAATCACATTGTGCAATGCTAACAGACAGCAAAGCCAGAAGTACTGATTAGCTTTGGTTTTTTTTGTAGGCTCCCTACAGTGTGGGAACAGGCCAAACAAGTCCACACTGACCCTCTGAAGAGCATCCCACTCAGACTCACCCCCTTACTGTGAGACTCTGCATTTCCAATGGCTAATCCACCTAATCTAAACATCCCTGAACACTATGGGGCAATTTAGCATGGCCAATCCACCCTAACCTGCACATTTTTGGACTGTGGGAGGAAACTGGAGCACCCAGAGGAAACCCATACAAACACGGGGAGAACGTACAAACTCCACACAGTCGCCCAAGGGTGGAATCCAGGCGCTGTGAGGTAGCAGTGCAAACTACTGAGACACGGTATTGGCCATAAAATAGGAATTGTTTTGGGTAACAGCTCGTTTATTAACTGCAAGAGTGAAATAAAGATTGGTTTGTGTACATGGGAATTAAATCAGAAGTGGAAACATTTTTTATTCATTCATGACACAAGTACATCACTGACTAAGCCAGCATTTATTGTCCACCCCTAATTTCCCAGAGTTCAGTTAACAGTCAACCACATTGCTGCGGGTCTGGAGTCACATGTAGGCCTGATCGGGTAAGGATGGCAGTTTCCTTCCCTCAAGAACATCAGTAAACCAGATGAGCTTTTTCCTAACAGTCAACAATGGAATCACTGGACTCTTGATTCCAAATTTTTTTTATTGAATTCAAATTCCACCACCTGCTGTGGTGGGATTCGAACCCCAGTCTCCAGGATATTACCTAGCTTTCTGGATTAGTAGTCCAGTGATTATACCACTAGGCCATAAATGGGTGTTTTATGGCATCAAAAAGCAGGTGGGGAAATAAGTTCAGGGTGGAATTTAAAGTCAGGGATGACTGATTCACCCATGAGAGGTAAGTTACTTCACCTCTTAGTTGGGCCTAGAAGGTAACCCCTAGGCCTGGTTTTGCTTGGGGAAAACTAATTAGTGTGCACAGAAGTAGGCCCCCTAATCACATTTGCCAAATGTATCTCTGGTCTCTTCCAAACCAATATTGTGGGCAACAAATTTCTAACCATGAATAAGCACACTAGCCAATGTTGGCTCTTTACCTGGGGTGGAGTGGCATATTCATGAACTAGTGGCCTAGAACGTCAGGCTAATGTTCTGGGTGGATGGTTTCAAATCCTACCAAGGCATGGTGGCTCAGAGATTAGCACTGCTGCCTCACATCGCCAGGGACCCAGGTTCATTCGCACCCTTGAGTGACTGTCTGTGTGGAGTTTGCATGTTCTCCCCGTGTCTGCGTGGGTTTCCTCCCCCAGTCCAACGATGTGCAGGTTAGGTGAGTTGGGCATGGGGAATACAGAGATACTGTACCAGGGTGGGTCTGGGTCAGATGATTTTTGGAGGGTTGGTGTGGACTCTGTGGGCTGAATGGCCTGCATCCCGACAGTGAAATTTGCATTCATTAAATGTTGACCATGTAACCATTGTAAAAACCCATCTGGTTTTTTCATACCCTTTAGGGAAGGAAACTGCCATCCTCACCTGGTCTGGTCTACACGTGACTCCAGACCCACAGCAATGGGGTTGATTCTTAACTGCCCTCTGGGCAATAGATGCTGAACTGGCCTGTGATACCTACCTCTCATCCATGAATAACAAAAAAATGCCTGATTACTTCTTAAAACAGTTTGCACCACACAAAACAATTATTCTGTCTTTTTTTTAAAATCTTGCATGATATGTTTTTGGACTCTAAAATACCAGAGTTAGATATTTTACACTTTAACAACAAGATGCCAAATTCTGCTTGTCACACAATGTAAAGTTTATTACTTGGCACTATTTGACAGCCATGTGTGCCAAAATGCCTTCACCACTGCCAATCTTACAATAATGTGTTCAAAAAAAAATAGAATGAAAGCTTAATCTGCAAGTCTCAGCCAATCCTGAGCAAATTGTGAACATTCAATTTCAAAATCTTGAGTTAAAAATCCACTGCTGCTAACCGTTTAGAATGAAATGTGTGTCTTCAGTAAACACACTGCAGGGCAGGTGTGAGCTGTAATAAGTTCTGAAATAACCCTGTGATGCTAATCTGTGCCTTCAATTCTCTCAGGATGTGAAAAAGAATGCTATATTCACAAGAACTCAACCAAATCCAGTGTTTCTGAGCAAATGGTAAGTCAGTAAAACTGCAGAAGAAAACAAAGCCCCACAACAGTTACTGTCTTGGTTATCCACGTTATTTATTAATGACTTGGATAACGGCATAGAAAGTTACACATCCAAATTTGTTCATCGTACAACTTTAGACAGTATTATAGACAGTGTAGATGATAGCATGAAATGACAAAGAGATATTGATAGACCAAGTGAATGAGCAAAACTGTGGTGGATGGAGTTTAACATAAGCAAGGACTTGGACAGAAAAAGGATAGATCAGGGTAATTTGTAGATGGTACAAAGTTAAACACAGTGGTTGTCCAAACAGACTTGGTGGTTCAGGTGCACAGATCTTTAAAATGCCACAAAGGTACAAAAAATAATCAAGGCAGCTCGTGGAATGCTGGCCTTTATATCTAGCAGACTGGACCACAAGGATGCAGAAGTTATGCTGCAGTTATACAAAACCCTGGTTAGACCACAACAGCTCTAAAGAAGGGTTACTGGACCTGAAACATTAACTCTGACTTTTCTCTTATGGGTGCGGAGTCACATGTAGACCAGACCAGGTAAGGATAGCAATTGCTTTCCCTAAAAGAAATTAGTGAGGCAAATGGGTTTCTTCCAACAATTGACAATGGATTCATGCTGCTAAACCTGCTGAATTTTTCCAGCAATTTCTGGGTTTTTTTGTTTCTGATTTCCAGCATCTGCAGTTCTTTCATTTTTTTATCTGGTTAGACCCCATTTGGAGTACGGTGAGCAGATCTGGGCACCACATCTTAGGAAGGATAGACTGTCCTTGGAGGAGTACAGTGTAGGTTTACAGGAATGATACCTGAACTTCAGGAGTTAAGTTGTGAGGTGAGATTATACAAATTTGGTCAGTTTTCTCGAGAATTTAGAAGGTCAAGGGGTGATCTGATTGAAGTTTTCAAGATATTAACTGGAAAAGGCAGGGAAGATAAAGACAAACTATTTCCACTAGTTGGGGATTCTAGAACTAGGGGCATAGTCTGCGAATTAGGGCCAGACCGTTCAGGAGAGATGTTAGGAAGCACTTCGACACACAAAGGGTGAGAGACGTTTGGAACTCACTTCCACAAATGGCAGTGGATTCTGAATCTGCTGTTAATTTTAAATCTAAGATAGATAGATAATTTTTTGATAAGCAAAGATGTTAAGGGAAATGGGCAAAGTATATGGAGTTACAAGACAGATCAGCTGTGATCGCATTGAATGGCAGAACAGGCTCAGGTGGGGGAGGGCTGAATGGCCTCCTCTCGTTTCTATGTTGCTGACTTGCATTGCTATAGTGCCATTCAGAATTGTAGGCTGAAAGCACTTTTAAAGACCAGAGGATGGGAATTATGCAGTGAATAACTCAGAAACCACAGCCCTGTGGCTAAAGTGAAGATTTCTTCTGGAGATGAGAGGAAGCAGTGACAGAGATGCACTAAGTTAATGCAATAGGATTTTACGATCTTGAGAGATATGAGCAGGAGAGTGATTGAATCATCTCAAACTGTCTGGATGGGAACAGCTTCAACTACACTCAAGAGGCTTGACATCATCCAGGACAAAGCTGCCTATATAATCAGCTCCATCAACCCCCTATTCCACACCCCATGCTCAGTTGCAGCAGTGTGTGCTATCAATAAGGTGCATTGCAGCAACTCAGTAAGGATCCCCTGACTGCATCTTCTAAACCCACACTTTCGGCTACCTAGAAGGTGAAGGGGAGTAGACACGTGGCAACACCAGCCCTTGAAAATTCCCTTCCAAGCTATGCATTATCCAGACCCGGAACCACTGTTCCTGCATTGCTACTGTGTCAAAATTCCGGATTCCTCCTTACACCCCACCCTTAAAACTGTGGGAGTACCTACACCCAAAGAATGCAGCAATTCAAGAAACAGCTCACCACCACCTTCTCCAGGGCAACTATGGACGAGGAATAAAGGTACTGCCCGCATACCACGAAATATTAAGTTTGTAAAAACACACTGAGGAGAGATATTTAGCATGTCATTGCTCGTTTGAATTACAATAACAGCAACATGCAAATTAAAAATGACTTTTCTGAATCTTGTCGTTAACAGTGTCTGAACTCATGTCAAATGAAGGATTTATACGATAAAATGTACAGAGGGTTTAAGGAGGTATCAGATGAAAACAGCAAAGTTGCGCGGATTCTGGATAATGCAGAACGTGCTCTACGATCTCTAGTCGAAGTTCCATGGAATCAAAGCGAAGAGCGAAAATCGTTGGCTGAGTTTGGTAATGAGCTCCCACTTTTCAAATCTGTGACTGTGTAGAATCTCAGTCCTCCCTATCAGTTACCAGAAATGTAGTGTTTGTCCCCATCATGCAGTGAGACAGAGCTCTGCATGTTCCAATTCTCACTCATTGTCACATACCCAATAGAATGGTGAACATTAGGAACTAATGGAGACCATGCAGCACCTTGATTCTTCTCTGCCATCCAATCAAATCACGTGTGAACTGAAATTCAGTTCATTTGCTATGTGTCTTTTGGTAGGTAAATGCAGTGCTCATATAATCCCTATAGCGCAGAAAGAGGACTTTTGGCCCATTTCATCTGTGCCTACCCTCCAAAGGGCACCCCATCCAATCCCTGTAAGCCTGCATTTCCCATGGCTAACCCACCTTGCCTGCACATCCCTGGGTACATTGGGTAATTTAGCATGGCCAACCCAGCATAACCTGCACATCCCTGGGCACATTGGATAAGTTAGCATGGCCAACCCACCCTAACATGCACACCTGGACTGTGGGAGGAAACCAGTGACGAGGAGGACATGCAAAGTCAACATAGACAGTCACCCGAGGGTGGAATCAAACCTGGGTCCCTGGCGCCGTGAGGCAGCAATGTCAACCACTGGGCCATCCTGTTGCCCAATGATCAATGGTCCAATTGCTCTGTGTTTGATCTGGTGTCTGAGCTAGCTCATTCTGCTTGATTTTTTGAACCGAGTGTGAAATAACAGCAATGGAATCAGACACACAGAGGCAGCTGAAAGCTAGCAGCTCCCACATGTGTGAAGAAATGTTGTGACTGCGGAGATATTTTAAAACTCCTATAATCACATTCTATTCTACTCTTAGAGTCTGATGTGTCACCTCAGCATTGCTCTCAGTTGAGCCCACAATACCACTCACTCAGGCCTCTGGCCTCACCAACCCCACTTGTCTTATTCCAACAAGTCTTATCCTTGGCTTCCATCAATGAGTCTCACAGCTGGGTGCAATCCCAGCAGTGGCCAACTCTCCCAGTGGCACTGCTGGGACTGAAGAGCTCAGAGATGCAGAGAGATCTGAGTGTCCTTGTACATAATTTACAAAAGGTTGGTTTGCAGATACAGCAAGTAATTATGAAAGCTAATGGATAGTTATCTTTTCTCATAAGGGGAATTGAATACATAAGCATGGAGGTTATGCTTCAGTTATACAGGGCACGTAGTGAGACCACATCAGGAGTACTGTGTACCATGTTGGTCTCCCTATCTGAGGAAGGGTTTAGATGTGTTCAACACAGTTTAGAAAAGGTTTACCAGGCTAACACTTGGAATAAGAGAAATATCCTAGCAGGAATGGATGGGCAGTCCAGACTTGCATCTACTGGAGTTAGATGAATAAAAGACAACTTGGTTGACATGTTAAAATTCCTGGGAGGTTAGGACAGGGTTGATGTAGAGATGTCAAGTAACCAGGGTAGATGAGAATATCTGGAACTGTTTAAAAGTAAGGAGTCTCCCATTTTTAACATGAAGTGAAATTCTTCCACTCAGAGGGTCTTTGGAACTCTCTCCCTGAAAAGGTGTTGGAAGCAATGTCCTTGAATATTTGTAAGGCAGAAGTACATAGATGCTTGGTAACCAAGGGGGTGAAAGGTCATTAGGTGTCGGTGCGAGTGTAGATTGGAGGTTACCATCACATCAGCCATGATCTCATTGAATGGTGGAACAGGCTTGATGGGCTGAATGCTCCCCCATAATCCATGGGTTCATGAGCTGCCTGGTTTCCACAAAATTCTCAGACCTTCCCACAACAAATACTTGATGCTGGGATTGCCCCCTTCCTTCCAACCTATCATAGATGCGTCTAGCATGGAAACAGATCCTTCGGTCCAACTCGTCTATGCCGACCAGATATCCTAAATTAATCCATCCCATTTGCCAGCATTTGGCCCTTATCCCGCTAAACTCTTCCTATTCATATACCCATCCAGATGCCTTTTTGGATGTTGTAATTGTACCAGCCTCCACCAGGAGAGTTGTTACCACTGTTTCTTATATTCACTCACAGGATGTAGGCAATACTGGCGAGCCCAAGGTTCATTGCCCATCCCTAATCCTCCAGAGGGCAGTTAAGGGTCAGCCACATTGCTGTGGGTCTGGAGTCACATGTAGACCAGACAGCGTAAGGATGGCAGTGACCTTTCCTAAAGAGCATTAGTGAACCAGATTGGTTTTTCCCCGAATAATCAACAATAGTCATGGCCACCCCTTAATCCCAGATTGTGTGCTGAATTCAAATTCCACTCACTGCAGGATTTGAACCTGGAGATAACAAGGTGTGGAGCTGGGGGAACACAGCAGGCCAGGCAGCATCAGAGGAGCAGGAAAGTTGACGTTTTGGGTCAGGACCCTTCTTCCGAATCGTCAACTTTCCTGCTCCTCTGATGCTGCCTGTGCTCCTCCAGCTCCACCCTGCGTTATCTCTGACTCCAGCATCTGCAGTTCTTACTATCTTATGAGGATTTGAACCCAGGTCTCCAGGACATTAGCCGAATTTCTAGATTAATAGCCAAGCAATAATACTGCCAGGCCACTGCCCACTCCCCCTTGCACAATCCAGTTGTACGGGTGAGGAGGTAATGAGTAAGGAAGCGTTATTTCACTCACTTGCCTTCCATTTGAGCATGGCTTTCTGACAGTCACAGGGAGGAGCCCTCCCTTTTGGACTCAAAAGCCCTAAACGAACCCATCTCATGTTGTGGCTATATTCACGACCAAAGGGGAGCATGGATGCGAATGGTGATTTTTAAGCCAGAAAGTTGGAAGCCAATAAGGTGAAAACTAATAGTCAACTCCTGAATTTTTAGAAATCGTGATAAGGCGTCACATGAATCCTGCAAAACCCATCATGGTGTCGGCACTCGGGAACTCTATGGAGGTTGATCCAGCTTTATTTACAGACCCGGTATCAGGTAAAATATCGTTGCAAAATGTGTAGCTATTCCGAGGCAACTGCAATACAAACGAACCTAACTCATTAGCAACTCATAATTAAGTTAGGCCAAATCATGGTTACTTTTCTGATATTTTACAGCCTCCTCGGGTCCCAGAATTTAAGGGTCAGAGTAAAGACACAATTCCAGTTGGAAATCCACCACCATCATACTGGGAATGGCCTTTAAGGAACTTCCTTTACCAATTCCTGTTGTGTTACGTCTCGCTGAGGTTTTGCGATCTATTTTTTGGGCACAAGCTCATCATACCATCACCATATTGTAGCATGTGGCCTCATAGACATCAAGCTTTCAGGATCCATCTCATTTCCCAACAGCGTGACACACAGAGGGAAGCTTTATTTAATATTTACTTGAGGGACATGGTCAATTCTGGATGGGTCAACATTTATTGCCCATCCCTAATTGCCCAGAGGGCAGTTAAGAGTCAACCGCATTGCTGTGGGGCTGGAGTCACAATGGGTAAGGATGGCAGTTTCCTTCCCTAAAGGACATTAGTGAGCCAGATGGGTTTTCCCAACAATGGTTTCATGGTCATCATTAGATCCATTAATTCCACATTTTTTTAAATTTCAAATTCCACCATCTCTGGGATTTGAAACGGCGTACCAGGAATATTAGCTGAGTTTCTGGATTAATAATCTAGTGATAATACCAACAGCCATTGCCTCCAGTTGCTACAGTATATCTGAATTGCTGAGATTGAACCCAGACTCTGAAGCATCTGTGAGTGTCATGAACGTACGTAGATGCCAAATGCGATAATAATCTTCAGCACTACATGACCCATCCTTACATTTGCAGGAGCTAACGCAGTCATCACATTAGGGGTGTCAAAGATCAGCAGCTGTCACATCATTTCACTTCAATACCTGGAAGAGGCTCTGGGCTTTTTCCGAGTACAAATACAGGGCCTCATGTGAACATCAGATTCTGACCAACAGCATGACTTCCCCAGTTCTGTTTGCCTCTGAGAGAATCAATTCAAATAACATCTCCTAACCGATTACAACATGATTACTTATTGCAACTGTCACCCTCATTACTGCCCCCCGACCTCCAAAGGTGGGCACTCACGATGCCAGCCCTTACTGCCTCAGGCACATTTTGCCCATTTAGAGCCATAGAGTTTTACAGCATAGAAACCCATCATAATCACACCAGTTAGCAAGAACCTGTCTGTAGTTTTATTTTATTCATTCACAGGATGAGGATGTTTCTGGCTAGGCTAGAATTTATTGTCCATCCCTAATTGCCCAGAGGGTAGTTAAGAGTCAACCACATTGCTGTGGGTCTGGAGTCACATGTGGACCAGGCCAGGTGAGGATGGTAGTTTCCTCCCCTAAAGGACTTTAGTGACCAGATGGGTTTTTGTAGGAATTGGAATGAGGTCAGCAGGTGGAACCCAAAGAATATGAGTTTCCTGATTGGGGCTGTTAATCTGGTCCAATCAGGGAGCCCTGGCTGACTTAAAAGGGTGAATGTTAGGGATGTTGGACCATCTGAATGCCTGACTCAGTGCTATTGTCAAAGGCTGTGCATTTGTAAAGAAAGGGTGATTGGTGCTGGGATGCTGGCTTCTGAAGAGTTATTTCACCATCCAGTCTAGTTCCATTTCCTAGCACTTGACCCATAGCCTCTGGAACTTCCAGGTAGTCCTGTAAATGCTTCTTAAATGTTGTGATGGGGTCCTTTCCTCCACTACCCTTTCAGGCTATCGGTTCTAGACACCCACCACCTCGCTTGGTGAAACATATTTTCTTTCAATCGTGTCCTGGCTGTTACTTTAAACCTCAGCTGGTTTGTGACCCCCTCACTCTAAGGAGAAAGATCTTTCCCTAGCCACCCTAATAATTTTGTAGACCTCAATCAGTTCCTGCCTTTAGCCTTCTCTGGAAAACAAACCCAGACTATTTAATCTCTCTTCCTTGCTGAATTGCTCCAGCCCCCATGCTACATCCTGGTGAATCTCCTCTGCTCCCTCTCTAATGCAAACATTTTGTTGCTATAGTGCGATGGCCGATACTCCCTGCTCCCTCCCAATCCTCAGCCAAGTTTGCCATGGCCTATCACGCCTGGATATAACTTGTTGCTAATTTTACCTCCTGCTGTTGTTGAATTTACGCTCAGTGGTTTGCCTCTGAAGTGGAAGGTCATTTGTTTCAAATGCCACAGTGGTGCTAGTATCTATGTGTACTCCACTGTGCAATGTTTCCATATTTGATGGTGCCATCTGGGGATGGAGATGATAAACCAAGACTCATCCATTGAAATAAAAACCCACATTACAATTTTGTTGGATATCAGGGGTGGAAATTGTACACTGGTGTACCTTTAATGGAACAATGCTCTCTCTCTCACTCTCACTCATTCTAGGAGCAAGGAGCAGAAACCCAACCATTGCCTTTATTATTCACAAGAACATGACAACATTTTCGGACAACGATACTGTGGTGAGGGAGGACATCCCAGCCGCACCTGAACAAAAGACAGAGGTGTTGAATTCAGCAATCATAACAGCAGTGATAACCAGCAAGACAAGAATCTTTCCAACCCGCCCCATCAACTTCACCTTCAGCCATATCAGGGTTGGTTGCACACTATTTCACAATGCTCGCTGTTTCCGGTGGCATTGTTGCTTCGAGAATCTTTTAAAAAGTAGGGAGGTTTGCTAAAACTATGCACGGTATTAGTCAGACCACAGCTAGAATACTGTGGGCTCCTCATCTGAGGAAAGGTAGAGTGGCATTGCAGGGAATGTTCACTAGACTGATACAAGGCACAGAGGGACTATCTAATGAGGGGAGATTGAGTAGGTTGGGCCTGTCCTCATTGGAGTTTAGAAGAATGAGAAGTAAACTTAGTGAAACACACAAGATTCTTCAAGGGCTTGACAGAGTAGATGTGGAAAGGTTGTTTCCCCTTGTGGGAGAGTCAAGGACCAGAGGGCACAATCTCAGAGTATTTAGGACACAGGGTGGTGAATCTGTGGAAATCTTTACCACAGTCATTAAGTATATTCAAGGCTGAGACAGAGAGATTTTTAGTCAGTGAGGGAATCAAGGGTTGTGGTGAAAAGGCAGGAAAGTTGGGTTGAGGATTATCAGATCGGCCATGATCCCATTGAATGGCAGAGCAGACTCAATGGGCGGAATGGCCTACTTACGCTCCAAAGTCTTACTCTGTACCCTGTGGTACAGGGGGAGGCTATTTGGGCCCATTGTGTCCATGCTATTTAACACAGTGAAAACTGTTTCCAATGCATGTAGCTGATAAAAAGAATTCTTCAAAATGGAATTAATGTCACCAAAGCCAGAGATTGAGGGAAGTTTGGCGAGTAGATGTTTTGGATTAGCTTCCGCTCCCATTGATAAATTCTAATGGATGGAAGTTTGACATCTGCTTTCTATTCTGGCCACCCCCAACCATACCTCTACCCGCATTTTGGCATCACAGTTGGTGGTGAGGAGTGGTCCAGGTTATACAGGAAACCTATAGAAAGCAGCAAAGTGGGCCTGCTCACTGTGGAATGGCCACTAGTGACCCTGGACCATACCGTGTCCCAAAGGCAATTGATTTCAGGCATCTCAAATAGCCAATGGGGTAAGCACCACCTCCTGCTTTGCACTTTACCTCAATCCATGATTTGGGACAGGGGCAGAGTGAAGGCTACTGGATAGGGAGAAGTTGAATTATACAATTAAAAAATCCAATGATTTAATTTGAATAATTCGACTTTAATATCCCTGATTGTAAGCTGAACCTCTTTTCTACTCGAAGCTTGAGGCCATTAGGCAAAACTGATAAGTTACTATGTGTTCAGCCTGCTCATTTGGCCCAATTGCTGAGGCAGAATCTCACTATGAATGTTTACCTGATCCCCAAGAACTTCTGATAGATTCTCATCTGACTGGAGAATGTTTCAGTTGTTATGGAAAGGGTGACTAACCATGTTTGTTTGACAATTTTGTGAGCTTTCAATCAGCTTATCTTTTCGTTAAAATGATTTTTCTTTACCCGTGTGTTTATTTCCGCAAGATTTAAGATTTTTGATTCAATTAAATGTTTTTCCAATGTGAGTATGAATAGTTATGTTTGATTGGATGAGCCTTTAAGAGGGGGATTTTCTTTGATGGAGATTTGATAGCAGATTTTCTTTTATTTTAACTTCCTGAGCATCTCAAAGACTGGCCATTGTTATGTTGAGTCATTGGTTCTCTACCTGATAGAAACTTGAAGGGTGTTTCAAAGCCTGAACAGATGTCAGGACACTAAATCATTATGAAATACAGGATTTCCCCTACACACACACATATCTGACATTCCACACTGTTGAGTGCAGGAGAAGTCTTTATCCGATGGATAAAGTTCTCTAATACATATGATGCCTTACATTGTACTGGCTAATTTAAAACTTTCTTACAACACCTTAGGTGCATGTTGGATTGTAATCTGCCACTCTTACTAACCTGAGGGAAATGGTGGGCAGGGTTAATGGCATCATGGTGCAAAACTGTAGCCCTAGACACATGCCATGTGGACCTTTGGAAGCTGGTTTTCTCAGAATCAGGAGGACAAATTTTAATTGTCAATCTTCTGGGGAATCTGAACGATGATTCAGTGGTTAGCACTGCTGCCTCACAGCACCAGGGACCCGGGTTTGATCCCACACTTGGGTGACTATGGAGTTTGCACATTCTCCCCGATGCCTGCATGGGTTTCCTCCAGGTGCTCCAGTTTCCTCCCACAGTCCAAAGATGTGCAGGTTAGGGTGGATTGGCCGTGCTAAACTGCCCCATAGTGTCCAGGGATGTGCAGGTTAGGTGGGTTAGCCATGGGAAATGCAGGATTACAGGGGTAAGGTAGGGGGGTGTGTCTGGGTAGGGATGCTCTTTAGAGTGTTGATGTAGACTCGATGGGCTGAACGACCTGCTTCCACACTGTCGGGATTCTATGATTTAGGCAACACAGCAGTGTGTACTACCTCCGAGATGCACTGCACAAACTAGCCAATAATCCTCAGACTGCACTATCCAAACCCATGACCACTTCCATTTCGAAGGACAAGGACAGCCGATACATGGGAACACCACCCCCTGCTAGTTCCCCTCCGAGCCACTCACCGTCCTGACTCAGAAATATATCGCTGTTCCTTCACTGCTGCTGGGTCAAAATTCTGGATCTCCCTTTCGTCAGCACTGTGTGTGTAACCATAGCATGTGGACTGCAATGACCCAAGAAGGCAGCTCACCACCACCTTCTCAAGGGGCAACTAGGGACAGGCAATAAATGCTGGACCCAGCCAGCGACACCAACGTCCTGTGCATGACTGAAATATAAATTGTGACCAACCATGAATAATGGGCGTCATTGTGCCAACAACCCCGTTGTTTTTAACAGAGCCTGGCCATTTACACAATCACCTGGCAACGGGGAGTTCTCAGTTAAATGCAGGTATTTAAAAACTTTTTAAAGTAGGGGTGGAGGGCGACAAGAGAGAACAACAAAGACAGCGACCTGTTAAAATACAGCATGTAGGCTATAATAAAAACATGGCAAGTATCTAATTGCGAGGAGCAAAGGGGTGCTGAGAGTGGAATGTGCTTCCTGAAAGATTCCCTTGTCTTTTTTACAGGCCAATGTAAACAAGTCAATCATAAGATGCGTCTACTGGAATCGATCTCTGACTGGAACACCCTGGTCTCCCAATGGCTGCAAGCTGGTATCCTCAAATAAAACCCATACAGTGTGTCGGGCGTTTCACCTCTCCAGCTTCGCCATCCTGATGGCATTGAAGGTACTGCTGGTCAGGTTCATTCCCTCCGTTGAAATCACGGGCTGTGAAAGTGGCACGGTAGGCAGCCTGGGTCATGGAGCAGGCGGCCAAGGGAGACTGAGCAGTCGTGGGGCTGTGGCAAGGCAAGAGGGAAAGATAAAAGACCAAAGGAGATGAAGCCCATTGAATGGGCAGTGCCAACAGCTGACAGCATTCTCGGAGAATTAAACTAAAAGCTGTGCCTTTACATAGCACCTGGCACGACCACAGGATATTCCATTTGTTCTTGTAATACGAGCATAACTGGCCAGGCATTTATTGCCCTTGAGAAGGTGGCAGTGCCAACTACAACTGAGTGGTTTGAATGAAGAGTCAACCACATTGCTATGGGTGTGGAGTCACATGTAGGCCAGACGGGGTAGGGATGGCAGATTTCAGCAGCTGGAGAAATTCGGTGAAGCAGATAGGATTTCATGACAAGCTGCTCCTTACGAACAGGTCTAACCTTTTGTTCCAGACTTATTAATTGCATTCAAATTCTCCAAACTGCTGATCTCCAGGGCACTATACATTATACCTTGTACAATTAGTCTAATAAAATTACCATTAAGCTACTGTCCCCAGGAGGTTCCAGCCTGCTTTCCAGCCAGTTAAGTGCTGTAATGTAGGAAAAACGGAAACTAATTTGACTAGCACAAGTGCAGTGTCATAAAGAACAGAAAATCTGAAACAGAGATCGATATCAGCCAGGATGCTCGGGAGAATTGGCTGCTCAGCTTTGAAAATGAACATGTCAATTACAAAGCAGATAATATCAAGATTAGGAAGTTGTGGTAAAATTGCTTTGAGCGAGACCTCAATTATAGGTCACAGAATTATAGGACGTTTGAGTTCATGAATTATATTCAAGTTCAATGAGATTGTGGAGCCAGGCTGGTCGAAATCTGTCATAAATATTTGCCCTTAAGACAGTTTCAGCAGAATACACTCCATTAAACTTTCAATGATGGTGAAAATTCACACTTATATATACAGTTACATATCAGGGTGTTACTACCCATTAAAATGCTGACTGATTACAATGTACCCGATTGTAAATTTTACTTCAGCTACTTACTCTGAACTAAAGTACAACTGGAACAGTTCCTTATTTCCCACAATGTCAAGACAAAATCCCATAATATTCATCTCTCTCCACGTCTGCACAGTTCACCCTGGAGGCCATTTGATTTACTTATTTAGCAAGGTCAAATCTCTAAAGTCAAGCTGTAGCCCCATTGTTTGCTGGGTTTGAGGTATTTACTTGGCCATTTAGTCAGTGGAACAGCAATAGGCCATTCAGCCCCTCGAGCCTGTTCTACCTTTCAATGAAATCATGGCCGATCTAAGGCCTACCTCAATATGCCTGTCTTTGGCCCATATTCCTTAATACATTTGCTTCACAAAAATGTACCCATCTCAAACTTAAAATGAACAACTGATCCAGCATCCATTGCCTTTTGTGGTAGACAGTTCCAAACCTCTACCACTCTTTGTGTGTCGAATACTTCGTAACATCTCCCCCAAACGGCCTGGTCCTAATTCTCAGACTATTGTAGAATCTTCAATCAATGGAAACGGTTTACCTTTACCTGCCCTGTTTTTCCCTGTTTTTAACAGATCACTCCTTAACATTCTAAAATCTAGAGAAAACAGGCCGCATTTGTATAATCTCTCCTCAAAACTTAACCCCTGAAGTCCAGGTATCATTCTTATAAATCTGCACTGTACTCCCTCCATGGACAGTCTGTGGTCCCTAAAGTGTGGTGCCCAGATGTGTTCACAGTACTGTAAGTGGGATCTAACCAGGGTTTTGTATAGTTGCAACATACCTTCTGCATCTCCAATCCTCTGGATAGAAAGGCCAACATTCCATTAACCTTCTTGATTAGTTTCTGCACCTGTTTGTGGCATTTGAAAGACAAAGAGGACACACTCAGTAATTTATCACATTGTTTGTGTGTCTCTCCACAAGTAACCTAAGGCCTTTGTTCTAAGGCTCCAATATTGGAGGTTGGCTACACAGGGAGCCTGGCTTGTCCTGAGTCTGTTTAGCGAGGACCCCGCTCTGAGACTAAGACCGATCTGCAACTTGACTTCATTTCCCCACCTTGCTTAACCCAACAAAAAGCTATCCACTGCAGTTTTTAAAATTTCCAATTGATCCACCCCCCAAGTGGCACAGCATTTTTTGTTTGGTGTGACATTACTACCTGCCACTTCCACGAAGAAATGGTACCAGACATCATCCCTGAGATTTTAATTCATTGTCACGCCAGGAATGTGCATGCTAAATTCAAATGGACATGAAGCCATGTTACTGCAGTGTAGTGAGAACAGCAGATAGAGTTATAGAGCCATCCAGCATGGAAACAGACTCTTCAGTCTAACCAGTCCATGCAGAACATAATCCTAAACTAAACTAGTCCCACCTGCCTGCTCCTGGCCCCTATCCCTCCAAACCTTTCCTACTCATGTACTTATCCAAATGTCTTTTAAATGTTGTAATTGTACCCACATCCACGGAAGTTCATTCCACACACAAACAACCCTCTGTGTAAAACATTTGCCCCTCATGTCTTTTTTAAATCTTTCTCCTCTCACCTTAAAAATGCATTCCCTAGTTTTGAAATCCTACATCAAAGGGAAAAGACATCTACCATTATTTATCTATTCCTATACTCCTCGTTACTTTATAAATCTCTATCTATACCCCTCATTATTTTATAAACTTCGATAAGGTTGCCTCTCAACCTCCTCCGCTCCAGTGAAAAAAGTCCCAGCCAATCCAGCCTTTCTTTATAACCCAAACCTTCCATACCCAGCAACATCCTGGTAAATCTCTTCTGAACCCTCTCCAGCTTAATAATATCCTTCCACTGACTGGGGGCGACCAAAACCGAACACAGTATTCCAGAATAGGGCTCAACAATGTCTTGTACAACATCAACATGACTTCCCAACTCCTAAACTCAAAGGACTGAGCAATGAAGAGAGTAAAATGATTGCTGGGTAAAATGATGTGTTGGCCACAGTGTAACAGCACTGCCCCATTGAAACACTTCAAGCTGTTGCTGTTCTCTCCTACAAACAACTCACTGTATTTCTTCAGGATTTCAATCCTCACAAATACTCCCAACAGGGCTCAGGGAAATGGTCTCACTCATTAATCTCCCCCTCTTCTGTTCACAGGATCTCCCAGACGTGTTGGCGCTTAATGTTATCACTTACATTGGATTAAGCATCTCCCTAGTGTGTCTGTTACTGACGATTGTCACATTTGCCACTTGCCAATTGGTCAATGACACTAGGCGCACCATCCACATTCACCTGTGCGTGAGTCTGTTCATCGCTGATTTTGTCTTCCTCGCTGGAATCTCCCAAACCAGAAATCGGGTAAGGAATCCTAATGATTGTTCCATTTGTGACACCGCACTGAAGGAAGGTGCCACAATAAACTGTTTGCTCATGTTCCTTCCAGCCACACTCTTCAATCAGGTATTTGATGGAAAAGATCCTCTATCCCACCATGGCATACTCTACGTGTAGATATCATTCAGCCCTCTGAAGATTGACCCACTGAGTCCCATGACCCCCACCTCTTTCTCCATAATCCTGCAGTTTTAATCTTCCCCAATTATTTATCCATTTGCCTGCTTTCACCAGACTCCGAAGCAACATGACCATAATTCTTCGCTGAGCGAAAACTTTATACTCCCCTTCATCTCTCCCTGGCTTCTGACAAAATGGTCTTAATTTGGCAACTTTTGTTATGGGATTGGAAACAGCTGCTTTGTGCTTATTCTGAAAGCCTTCATAATAAACCTCCCCATAACCTTTGCTGTCTTAAAAACTAATGCAGATTTTCCCACCTTTCCATGCAACTGATTTCTCTGGTAGTGCTTATTGGAGAAGGTAATGGTGCTGAAAGGGTTAAAGTACTAATCTCCAACCAATCTGATGAAGGAAAGGGAAAGGGAAAGGGAAAAGGTCAAATATCTAAAGATTTCAAAGAGAGGACAGTTCTGTTATCCAAGGTGTCCTGACAATCTGACTCACAATGTCTATCTTGCTTATGTAACTTGTTCCTGATTGCTATCATGCAATCAATTACAACCTGCATAAAATGGAAACTTCTCCTTATCATTGTTATTCTTCCCTCCCAGTGTAGAACCTGTACTCCCAGACAGAGTAGGGCTCGCCAACAGCTATCTATCCATCCATTTAGTCATAGAGTCATAGAGCTGTACAGCACGGAAACACACCCTTCAGTCCAACTTGTCCATGCTGACTAGATATCCTAAACTCATCCAGTCCCATTTGCCAGCATTTGGCCCATATCCCTCTAAACCCTTCCTATTCATGTCCACATCCAGATGCCTTTTAAGTGTTGTAATTGTACCAGCCTCCACCACTTCCTCTGGCAGCTCATTCCATACACACACCACCCTATGTGTGAAAATGATGCCCCTTAGGTCCCTTTTAAATCTTTCTCCTCTCACCTTAAACCTATGCCCTTTAGCTTTGGATTCCCCCTACCCTGGGGAAAAGACCTTGGCTGTTCACCCTATTCCAGGCTCTTATGATATGTTGGCACTGCATGCTTCTGTAACCTGGTACCAACTGCGGTTGTCTGAAGGTTCAATCCAGCCGGATAAGGCACTGGTCTGATAAATCCCTTTGGAAAGCTCTCTTTTCTAAAGTGTTGCAACCTACAGTCCATCTTGCGGCACAACAACTGGGGTCCGGAATTCCAGGAGAACCCTTCCCAAGCTTTGGAAGAAGGCCGTGTGTTGGGCCAAGAATCCAGGCCAGGGTCAGCATCAGTGGGCTGTGGTTTCACATAGGCCTAACTCATGATTTAGAATGGCTTACCCATCACCTTCTTGTTTATGTCCTCTGAGCCTTTACACAGAAGTTCAGGGACCCCTGCAGCATTTTTACTCACTGGGATAATTACGTATTGCTTACTGAGACTTGAAAGGATGTCTAAAGGTTGCCCAGGTTACAACTCAAGCAGAACCACACGTAAACCTGTCTGCTCCCCTGCACTTGAGGCTAACTATTAAACTCAATAATTTTTATGACCACCTTTTTGAAAAATTTATTACTTCCCAGGCCTCCAAATGTTAGCTATTTATTAACTCAAATCCTTTTGAGTACCAGTTTTTCACCCATTAATATTGCACAATACCCTTGAAGAGGAATTTGGGATCATGTGGTAGAGGTGATTAACAAACTTCTTAGTTCATTGAAATGTTCAGATTTTGAACGATTTCAGACAGGGCAGTTAACGTGGACTCAGTAACTCTGAGTATAGGAGTTGGGAAGACATGTTGAGGTTGTACTGGACTTTCGTGAGGCCTCTTCTGGAATATTGTGTGCAGTTCTGGTCACCCTGTTATAGGAAGGATATTTTTAAGCTGGAGGGGGTTCAGAATAGAGTTGGGATGTTGCCAGGTATGGACGGTTTGAGTTATAAAGAGAGGCTGGGACTTCTTTCCCTGGAGTGTCAGAAGTTGAGGGGTGACCTTAAAGATGTTTATGAAATCATGAGGGGCATAAATAAGGTGAATGGCAGGTGTCTTTTCCCTAGGATGGGGATTTCAAGACAAGGGGCCATATTTTTAAGTTGAGAGGAGAAAGGTTTAAGAAGGACATGAGGGGCAACTTTTTTACACAGAGAGTGGTTCTTGGGTGGAATGAACTTCCAGAGGAAGTGATGGATTTGGGTACAGTTACAATGTTTAAAAGACAATTTGGATAAGTACATGAATAGGAAAGGTCTGGAGGGATATGGACCAGGAGCAGGCAGGCAGGACTAGTTTAGTTTGGGATTATGGTCGGCATGGACTAGTTGGACCGAAGGGTCTGTTTCCGTGCTGTATGACTCTATGTCTATTTAACTTATTTCCCCTGTGATCCTGTTTCCATTAAGTAAATGGAGCTGCAGGACAATAATGTTAAAATTCAGTCCAAAAAGCATGAACAAAATAATGACTCTTTTCGCATTAGCTGTCCAGCTTGGGAAGTTAAATCGTTCTACTGATCATCTCCAAAGATTGATCACAGATTGATCTGAGTGATTACAAGCTTTCAGTCCCCAGCGAGTGAACCATTTATCATTGTAAGGCTAGAATGTATTGTTAAGGCATACTATTATCTTCAGTAGATAAGCCCACTAGACACAGGGACAGAATTAGGCCACCAGCCCATTGAGTCTGTTCCGCCATTCAGTGAGATCATGGCTAATCTGAGTATACCCTGGTGTGATTACCCCACTCCGAGCTGTTAACCCTGCTCTTCATACTATGATGACTCAGTGAACTTTCTAGGAATCATGAAAAGGGAACCATTCCCACATAGAAGAGGATGGTGACAGTAAACCTACATTGTGGGGAGTGATTAAAAAAAAAGCAGGCTCTTACAACAAAGTGGGCAGTGGTGAGAAGGCTTATCCAGCAGTGTGTCAATATGTTTCCCCATGACTGCAGGGATCAAACAATTGTAATCAGTCTCATGAGACCGTCGTGCCTTTAAGAAAGGTTAGTTCTGCTCTGTTTCCCTTGCTGAGAATGTTGCCGCAGTGCTTTCAGAAGCAGTGGGTAAACTTTCAGCTCCCTGAGTGTTTTTTTTTCAAATTAGACAAAAGAAGCATGAATGGGTGGAGTCAGACTCACACAGCCCCAGGGTTTTGGTTTTGCTTTCATTTGGGGTTTGGAGTTGGCTGTTGAAGCTGACAGATACAGCTCTCTCTCTGCTGCAGCAACCAAGCTTGAGTTCTCTCTCTGCTGTGAAATTGTTTCCTTCAGTATTGTTTTCTCCTGGACTGGAAGGGAGATAGCATGTAAGGAATATCTGTTTTGCTGAATTTGCCTTTGCCAAGGATGTGTTTATGGGATGCTGCTATATTGGAACAGTTGATGATTAGAGGTTAAACAATGTATTATTTTATTAAGTATTTCAATTGTGTTAAAGTTATACCAAGTCCTCTTTTCATTGTTTGTCTTTTAACTGTGTTCTAAGAATAAGGTAGGTCATGTTCAAGCTGTACAGGATATTAGTGAAACCACTTTTGGAATATTGCATTCAGTTCTGGGTTCCCTGCTATAAGAAAGATGTTGTGAAACTTGAAAGGGTTCAGAGAAGATTTACAAGGATGCTGCCAGGGTTGGAGGGTTTGAACTATGGGGAAAGGCCAAATAGGCTGGGGCTATTTTCCCTGGAGGATCGGAGGCTTAGGGATGACCTTACAGAGGTTTATAAAATCATGAGGGACATGGATAGAGTAAATAGTCAAGGTCTTTTTCCTAGAATAAGGGAGTCCAAAACTAGAGAGCATAGTTTTAAGGTCTAAGTCATTAGCACATTTCTGTTTATAGGAGCTTGCTGTGGGCAGATTTGCTGCCACCTGGTCTGGATTATGACAAGGGTTATACAACAGAAGTGCATCATTGGCTGTAAAGTGCATTCAGACATCCTGTGCTACTCAAATAAAAGTTCTTCCTAACTCTTCTAACCCGCGTTCCATTCACTGAAGCTCTGAACTTACACCGTGTCTCTTCTGTTTAGATATTGTGTGGAATTATCGCAGGTGTTCTCCACTACTCCTTTCTCGCAGTCTTTGCCTGGATGTTCCTGGAAGGAATCCAACTTTACCTGATGGTGCAAGTGGTTTTTGTCCCAAAGGTTCCTCTCAAGCGATACATGCTTTGGGTTGGCTATGGGCTTCCAGCTTTGATGGTTGCAATTTCAGCAGCCGTAAACCATGAAGGCTATGGCACCGAATCAGCGTGAGTTTATGTTTTTAAGTTCTTCTTGAGACGTGAATCCATTTACTTTGATTTGAGAGATAGGGTGCATTATCCGTCTCTTGTTACATCCACAGCATGTTTAAACATGACTATTATTCTGCTGCTTACCTCCCGGAAGCATTGATTCCTCACTGTTGGGGAGTCGTCAGTTCATTAGGACATTCAGTGATTTTCTCTCAGCTTGACCCAATTGGCTATTCTTTGTATGGGATTCCCGACATTGTGTCCCAGTACATCCTGAACAATAGACAAGAGTAACATACCACACTCAGTCTCCAGTCTGACGCACAAGGCTGTAGACAGGAGTGGGGACCCAATGACTGACCCCTCCTGGCCATGGGAAGTGGGTCCTGAGGCCAGTTTTAGCACCTTCTGGGGCCTAACTCAGATGGTGTGGAGGTGTCAGTGTTGGACTGGGATGGACAAAGTCACTTGATGAAGGAGCAGCGCTCCGAAAGCTTGTGATTTCAAATAAACCTGTTGGACTATAACCTGGTGTTGTGTAACTTTCTGACTAATTCAGATGAAACACGCTTTTGTTCTCAGAAAGAGAGCTTGTGATTTTCCTCAACCATAGATGCCTTCAGAATTTGATGATGAACTTTTTGTCGTAATTGTAACCTTTCTGAAACCAGTCAGCAGTTTCGTAAGCTGTTTCCTGTAGCCATAAATGGTATGTAATCATATTCAACTGAAAGCTAATAGAGAATAAGAGTGAGTCTTACAACAATTCAGCAGGTTTCATGATACTTACCTGTGCTTTATTATTTGCCCAGTTAAATTCAATTCCATTAATAACTCACTCTCAGATTTAATTGGAAAAATTCTACACAATTAATCAGGTGCATCATGCATTAGGAATTACCACACAAAGTTTTGTACAAATTCATATTTGAATGCACACATTGTGTTGGAAGATACTGGACAATTATAACCACATAGACCCTCTGTAGACACTGTTATAAAGAGATGGCAAACATACACTGGGAAGTTAAGGGAACTATGGGGGACTGGAATGAAGTGGTGTTAAAACGGTTAACTTTCAGGAAGGTTTTGAAAACTGGGGGCAAGTTACAATGGGGTGTAGCCTGGAGTCTGAGGTTCAAGACTGGAAGGACAAACTGTTATAGCAGAGTGGAGAACGCAGTGGAGGAATTGGCTAGTTGCTGGGCTCTAATCCAAAGGTTCAAGTCAATATCCTGACAGCATCAGTTTCAACCTTACCATGGCAGTTTTTGGAGTTATGAATTCAATCTGAAATTGAATGCTTACAGTAACCATGAGACTCTTGAAAGTTGTTCTAAAAATCCGACTAGTTCACTAATTTTGGGAAGGAAATCTGCTTTCCAGATCCACAGCTATATAGCTGACTCTTAACTGAAATAGCCTGCCAAGTCATTAGCTTCACAGACAGTTAGGGACAGGCAACAAATGCTAACCCCCAAAAATAAGAAACAGGAGCAGCTGGAGAGCCAACGGCCTGCCCCCTGTTCTGTATGATTGTGTCTGATCTTGGGTTTCAACTCTACTTTCAACCCTATGATCCCTCCAGAGATCAGAACTCGTTCTCTTGCATCCTCAGATATATTCAATAATCGAGCATCTACAGCCTTCTGGGGCAGAGGCTTCCAAAGATTCACCACCCTCTGAGCAAAGCAATTTCAGCTTTACATGTTCAGTCCCTTATCCTGAGACCAGCCCTACGTTTTAGAGTCGCAAGTGCAAATTTTCAGTATATATCCTGTGTAGTCCCTTCGAAATCTTGTACATTTTCAGAGAATATGGGCCCAATTATGGGGAGGCGACTGCCGAGTGGTATTATCACTGAACTGTTAACCCAGAGACCCAGATAATGTTCTGGGGACCCGGGTTCGAATCCCGCCATGGCAGATTCTGGAATTTGAATTCAATAAATATCTGGAATAGGGTCTAATAATGACCACGAACCCATTGTCAATTGTCAGGAAAAACCAATCTGGTTCACTGATGTCCTTTAGCAAAGGAAACTGCCATCCTTACCTGGTCTGGCCTACATGTGACTCCAGACCCACAGCAATGTGGTTGGCTCTTAACTGCCCTCTGGGCAATTAGGAATGGGCAATAAATGCTGCCTAGCCAGCGACACCCTCATTCCATGAACCTCCTCACAGGTACTAAGTTAGCGGACTATTCATTGTACCACCTACAATACAAATCTATCCTTCTCTTAAATGTCACCAACAAACCAGCACACAGTGGTCCACAAGTGGTCTCACGAAGACTCCCCCCCATGCAATTGTAGTAAGACTTCTTTATTGCTGTATTCAAATGCCTTACAGTAAAGACCAACATGACGTCCCATAAAAGAATAAGTAAAAATATAATCTGGAGTGGGGAATCCAGACTTGTCATGCCAATGAAGAAGATTGCTCAATTGGAATGGGTGAGGAAGGATTTTAGAAGTCTTTGTAACCCAGGGATCCAGGGGAGCTGTTCAAATGAACCTTATCAAGACTGGGGGCGTGTGTCAATTAACTAACCCGTAGCAATTTGGGTAAATGTGAGGTTATTCACTTTGGAAGGCAAGTTACTATCTGATGGCTGTAAATTGGGAGAGGGGAGTGTGCAGTGGGATCTGGGTGTCCTTGTGCCCCGGTCGCTGAAGGTAAGCATGCAGGTACAGCAGGCAAATGGTACGTTGGCCTTTATTGCGAGAGGTTTCCAGTACAGGAGCAGGGATGTGTTGTTGCAGTTATATAGGGCCTTGGTGATGCCACACCTGGTGTATTGTGAGCAGTTTTGGTCTCCTTTTCTGAGGAAGGGTGTTCTTGCTCTCGAAGGAGTGCAGCGAAGGGTTACCAGGCTGATTCTGGGGCTGGTGGGTCTGACGTATGAGAAGAGAGTGACTAGGTTGGGATTGTTTTTGCTGGAGTTCAAGCGAATGAGGGGGGATCTAATAGAGACTTATAAAATTTTAACTGGACTGGACAGGGTAGATGCAGGGAGGATGTTCCCGATGGTGGATGTGTCCAGAACCAGGGGTCACAGTATGAGGATTTGGGGTAGACCATTTAGGGCAGAGATGAGGAGACACTTCTTCACCCAAAGTGTGGTGAGTCTGGAATTGATTATCACAGGAAGTAGTTGACTCCAAAACATTGAATGTATTCAAGAGGTGCCTAGATATAGCTCTTGGGGTGAATGGGATCAAAGGTTATGGAGAGAAAGCAGGATTAGGCTCTTGAGTTGGACGATGGTCCATGATATTGATGAATGGCGGAGCAGGCTCGAAGGGCCGAATGGCCTCCTCCTACTCCTATCTGCGACGTTTCTATGTTTCTATGTGATGGAATGTAGCGTTATAGGAGCCGGGTGCCTTTCAAATGGCATTGCTTTTCTGACCTCCTTTGAACTTTTAATTGCAGGTGTTGGCTCTCGACGAAGAATTTCTTTTCTTGTAGCTTCTTTATGCCGGCTCTGCTGATCAGCATCGTAAGTTTGATTCAAGTATCAATCCAGTCTGTTATTGTATTGAACCGAGTTTCCAATCTGAGCCTTTGGCGAGTGGGAGGTAGAGCGATGGGACAAAGGAGGGTGGAGAGAGGGATCGATGAGGGTCAATGGAGAGGGAGAAATGGAGACCAGCATAACTCAAAGCTTCTGCTGAGTTACATGTATCTACAACACTGCAGGCAATTTCCCCTGTAATGGCCATCAGCTCAGAACGATTTCATTGAACATGTATCTCAGACAGCAATTCAGGCTTTTGCCTCATCACATTCCATTGCAATCTTACAGCAAATATGTTAGTGCAGAAGTTCTGTTGACTGTGATGTTCCTTTACCTTAAATAGTTCAACACGACTGCCCAAAGTCAAAGGCAAGGCACATAAATAAAGAGTTTCCCAGTGTGCAAAAGAACTGTGCCCGACAGAGTTTGCTCAAATAGTCTTCCGAGGTCTGGTGACACATGAGGCAGAGAAAGCTTATGTCTGCTTCTGTGGCTGGCTTTTCTCTGAGTAGGTCACCAGTCTGTTACCAGTGAGCAGAGCTTGAGCTGGAGAGGATTCCATTGACATCAGACATGGCTGATCAGATCCCACTTCCTGCCAGAGACGTATCGGACGGACTCACAAGTTAGCGCTCAACCTCTCACTCGACTGATCCTCAACCTATCTGCGTTCCAAATGCACCTGCAGTGCACATCAAGTCCTGGAGTGAGATTCAAACCCACAGCTTCTGGCTCAGAGACACGTACGCTACCCACTGCACACCCTTTATATTGGTCACTTCCAAGAAATGCAATTTTTGCAAGATCGGCTGAATGCTCCACTCCTGAAACTCAGCATCAATGCACTGCAAGGAGTTCAAGTTTTCAATTTTGTTGGCTTCTCTTCCCCTTGAAGGTAGCAATTCTCACTGCAGTCATGTCCCATTGCTAGTGGGGTTCTCCTCCAGTGTATCGACTAAATGGCATTCGTTCCTTACCTCAGCTTGCATGTTGATTGCAGATGGATTATTCAATTGCATACCTAACCCTTAATTCCTCCTCATTCAATCTTTGGCCATCTTCACTTCTGTAAGGGGTTTGTCAGGTACTGATCTGTCCATGTATTCCCCTCTGAAACAGGGATGTCAAAACCCAACTGTAACATCCCATCACCTCCCAACTAAGATCAGCCAACTCAGTACATTTGGGGAATGACTCTAACATCTCCTGATGTTTATGAAGATTAGCGATTTACGGGATAAAATCACTGACCCTCCAATCGGACTATGGGATATCTTCTGGAAACATTTCTGAGTACTTTTCCGATGTTTAATATTATACGTTATCTTCATTCTTAATTGCAGATCAATTTTATCTTCCTTTGCAAAACATTAATGACGTTGAAAGAGAAGTTGTCAGATGTCATTTCAGAAAAGAAGACACTGGGAAAACAGAGGTAACTGGTTTAATCTGCATGCTATAACTTGTCCCTTCTGACCAAATGTCAATTTATATTTCCAAAGCGTCATGTGAGTTTTACAATTATTCATTGTCCTCTCCATTCTTCACACATATTAAGCTGATGTCCCTCTTGTGTTAGTGAGCAGCTGAACTACTGCTGAATAGTCCAACTCTGGAGCTCCAGATATTCGCTACTTGCCCATGTTTAGTGTTACATTGCAGCCTAGATTCCAAACTATCCAGGGCACTGTAGCTTTAATACAGTTACATAGCATCTTAGCATGTGGCATTCTGGTATAAAGGTAGCTATCTTGTCTCCAGTCACTCCTTCCTTGTAGTGTGTTCAGTCAGTCAGCTATGTGTGTGTAATGTACAGTAACATCAATTAGCACAGAACCCAGACCATGGCAATCTATCTTTGCATCTCCCAATAAGGATTCATCATCAAGGCATGGTTATACCCATTGGAACAAGTTAAAAAAACACTTAGATAAGTTCATGAATAGGAAAGGTTTGGAGGGATATGGGCCAGGAGCAGGCAGGTGGGACTAGTTTAGTTTGGGATTATGTTCAGCATGGACTGGTTGGACCGAAGGGTCTGATCCGTGCTGTATGACTCTACATGTTTATGCGTATGATATTGCATTTGTGAAAATAATTAGGTTTGTTAATGAAATTCAAGACACCTGTCTCAACTCTCTGTTTGTTATACAGGCTAACACATTAAAAATCCACAAACCCCATCACTCAGTGAAGTGTTGTCTTAGCTACTCCAGGACATTGGCATTTCAATGCAGCAGTGAGCAAGTGTTTTTGGGAAGAGCCATCCTCCCAAGGCCTGGTCTTCCCTGTCAGATATAACATCCCATGACGCTGCTTCAGAGAAAGGTGAAGAGTTCTCCCCAGGGTCCTGACTAATATTTATCCCTCCACCAATGTCACAACAGAAAGAAAGCAGGATGATCTGATTATTATTACACTGCTGTTTGCAGGACATTTCTGCGTGCAAATTGGCTGTCGATTCTCTGACAACAGTGTTGCTAGTCCAAAAAATATTTTATTTTTTAAAAAGTGCTGCAGGAGCTTCTAAGAATGTTAAAGGTGCTAAATAAACATAGGTTATTATTTGACTGTTCAGAACATAGGGAACAAGCAGCATCTGTTTAGAGTACGGCCATTCTATCCTTCGTAAGGTGTGGTGCCCAGGTCTCCTCCAAGTGGGGTCTAACCAGGGTGTTGCATAACTGCAATGTCCTTGCACTCTAGTCCTCTTGATATAAGGGACAGTATTCCATTAGCTTTCTGGATTATTTTCTGCACTTTTTCTCCGGCATTTTAAAGATTTATGCTCCTGAACCAACAAGTTTCTTTGGACAACCACTGAATTTAACTTCACACTGTCTAGAGAGTACCGTGATCTATCCTCTTCCTGTTCAAAGTGGATAGCTTCACACTCACTTACATTGAACTCCATCTGCCCCAGCTTTGCCCATTCACTTAGTCTATCGACATCCCCTGTAGCTTTATGCTATCACCTTTTTTTTTAAAGTTCACTCACAGGATGTTGGCGTTGCTGGCTGGACCAGCATTTATTGCCCATCCCTAATTGCCCAGAGGGCAGGTAAGAGTCAACCACATTCCTGTGGGTCTGGAGTCACATGCAGACCAGACTGGGTAAGGATGGCAAATTTCCTTCCCGAAAGGACATGAGTGAACCAGATTTTTTTTTTCCCCCCTGACAATCAGCAATGGATTCATGGTCATCATTAGACTCTTAATTTCAGAGTTAATTCCCCCATGGCAGGATTTGAACCCAGGTCCCCAGAACATTACCTGGGTCTCTGGATTAATAGTCTAGTGATAATACCACAAGGCCATCGCCTACCCAATCTACAATGCTAAGCCTCACTGGTTAATAAATGTCAATGCAATCATCCCACATGAACCGTAGGCAACTCACTAGGGCATTGGTAAACATATTGTAGCCAATGCTCCACATGAGCATGGCTAACAGCATCCTAGAAATAGCACACCCATAGCACCAAGGAACCATGCTCAATTCCACCCTCAGGTGACTTTCTGTCTGGAGTTTTCACATTCAGTCCTTGTCTACATAGGTCTCCTCCCACTGTCTAATGCTCTGTAGGTTAGGTGGATCTGCCAAAGGGAATGCAACATTGCAGGGATAGGGTGGTTCTTCAGAGGCTTGGTGTGGACTTGATGGGCCAAATGGCCTGCTTCCACACTGTAGGGATTCTATGAAAGACTGAGATATAGTATTTTAAGAAATGGCTAAAGATTCACTGTTTTAAGAGTCAATAAACTTTCCACCGTAAAATTAATTTCATTATCATTTTATTTATTCGTCAATGGCATGGCCAGGGTTTGTTCCCCATCACCAAATTGTTATAGCACAGAAGGAGGCCATACGGCCAGATGTCTCTGTACTGGCACTCTGAGTATTTTGGCTTAGAGCCTACTTTGCACCATGACTCTGCAAATTGTTTCTACTTAAATAATCAGTGAATGTCCTCCAGAATGCCCCATTAGAACTCTATTCAACCGCACTTCCATGCAGTTCAGTCTAAATCCAGACCACTGGATGTGTGAAAAAGTATTTTCTCATTTGCTTCTTTTGTAAAACTCTTTAAAACAGTGCTTTTTGGTTCTCGATCCATTGACAAATAGGCAGTTTAGCCGCTCTGTTCTAAAATTCTATGAAATCTCCCCTAAGCCTTCTCCTCTCCAAGGAAAACAGCCCTCAACCTCCATTATCTACTGTCATCACTGAAGTTTCTCGTCCCTGGAACCACCTTGTAAGCCTCCAATGCATTCTCTCCAATGCATTCACTTCCTTCCTAAAGTGTGGGGCTCAGAACTGTCCACCATATTCCAGCTGACCTCTAGCCTGTGTCCTATGTAGCTTGGTTGGTTAGATAGCTGGCCAATGAGATACTAACAGCATGGGTTCAATTCCTGCACTGGTTGAGATCATCATGAAGGTTCCTATTTCTAGGGTGGCACGGTGGCTCGGTGGTTAGCACTGCTGCCTCACAGTGCCAGTTCCACCCTTGGGCTGTGTGGAGTTTACACGTTCTCCTAGTGTCTACATGGGTTTCCTCCCACAGTCCAAAGATATGCAGGCTAGGTGGGTTAGCCATGGAAAATGCAGGGTTACAGAGATTGGGTGAGATGCTCTTCAGAGGATTGGTGTGGACTTGATGGGCTGAATGGTCTGCTTCCACACAGTAGGGATTCTATGATTCTCCCCTCACCTGCGGTATGGTGACTGTCAGGTTAAACCACCACCAGTTGTCTCTCTCCAAGAGGGAATGGGACGGTGGTGGCTTTTCTTTTACTTATGTAAGCTCAGCGTAACCTTCTTGCTGTTGTACTTCATGCCCCTATTTATGAAGCCTAGAATACCATATGTTTCATTAACAACTCTCTGTAACTGTCCTGCTACCTATCACGACTTGCGTACATAAATGCCCCCAGATGGTCCTGCTCCCACATATCCTTTAGAATAGTCCACCTTATTTAGTAATGTCTCTCCATGTTTATTATACCATCGTTAAGCACCTCACAATTCTCCACATTGAACACCATCTGCCACCTCTCCACCCACTCCACCAACTTGTCTATGCCCTTTGGAATTTCTACATTGTCTTCCTCACACTTTGCAATTCTTCCAAATTTTGTATCAGCTACAAACTTTGAAATTGTCTCCCGCACACCAAGATCTCGATTATTAATATGAATCAGGAAAAGCAGAGATCCCGATATTGACCTCTGGGGGAACTCTTCTACAAATCTTTCTACGGTCTGAAAAATATTCCCATAACCAATTTCATATCCATGTTGTTGTTTAGGTGAAGACTCCTCATTGTTGTGTGGCTCTAGATTGAATGCCTTTTAGAAACTCTTCTAGGGCCATTTCTGTCAATCACATTGCTGTGGGATTGGAGTCAAGTTAAGTGAGAATGCTAGATTTCCTTCCCTGAAGGGCATCAGCAGGTTGGATTTTTTGCAAATTGACAATGGTTTCATGATTGTTGGGGCAAGTTTTTAATTCCAGATATTTTGCATTGAATTGAGCTTAAATTCCACCATCTGCCACAGTGGGATTTGAACTCAGGTTCCCCCAAGCCTTAGCTTAGTCCTCTGGATTATTAGTCCACTGAAAGCTGAAGGTGCCACAGCCCCACTCTCTCATTAGAGAGAGATGACTGGTGTTGGTTTAATCTAAGGGTCACTACGCCTCAGGCTGGTTGGGGGGGGATGGGGGTGTGGGTTTGGGGAGGTTGAGAAGGCAGATCCTTCATGGTGACCTCAGCCAGTGCAGGAATTGAACCCACACCGTTGACATCACTCTGTGTCAGAGACCAGCCTTCCCAGCTAACCAACCCCAAGTCTACTGTACCACTATTGCCACACACCAAGAGCCAGCGTGTTACTAATGTTAGCATTAAGCGCTCTTTTGCCATTTGGTCTATCACTATTTCTGAATAATCTGATTATTGATTTTTTTGTTTTACAGAGTGTTTACAATGACAGCCTTTGGTCAATTAGCCATCCTGGGCTGTACGTGGATGTTTGGAGGGTTTTACATTCAGAATGCAACCATTCCAATGATGTACATCTTTACCATATTAAACAGCTTCCAGGGAATGTACATCTTCATCACGCATTGCCTGATGTATAAGAAGGTTAGCACTCCTTCCTTTTGTTAATGTGGTCTTTCTCCAGAACTCTGGTTTCATCTGCGTCTGCGAAGCCTTCCTGAAGAAACTGTTTTTTCCCAGAGTAAATCTTACTACCCATCTTTACTTTTGGGATACTGCATTTAATTCTGGTCTCCCTGCTACAGGAAAGATGTTGTGAAACATGAAAAGATTTACAAGGATGTTGCCAGGATTGGGGGGTTTGAGCTATAGGAAGAGGCTGAATAGGCTGGGGCTATTTTCCCTGGAGCATCAGAGGCTGAGGGGGTGACTTTATAGAGGTTTATAAAATCATGAGCGGCATGGATAGGGTAAATAGACAAAGTCTTTTCCTCAGGGTACGGGATTCAAAACTAGAGGGGCATAGGTTTAAGATGAGAGGGGAAAGATTTAAAAGGGACCTAAGGGGCAACTTTTTCACGCAGAGGGTGGTGTGTGTATGGAATGAGCTGCCAGAAGAAGTAGTGAAGGCTGGTACAATTACAACATTTAAAAGGCATCTGGTTAGGTGCATGAATAGGAAGGGTTTAGAGGTATATGGGCCAAATGCTGGCAAATGGGACTAGATTAATTTATCTGGTTGGCATGCAAGTGTTGGACTGAAGGGTCTGTTTCTATATGACTTCTGGAACTTAACAATAACCTTCAAGGTTTTCAGTCATTGATAAATCCAGCAATGGATTCAAGAGAAATATTGTTACTCAGGGAATGATGCAAATAGGGATTCATTACCTTGGAATCCACATGAGTGAATAAAGAGATCCACACATTGAAAAGCTGGATAAGTGCCTGTGGCTTAAAAGGGTTAGACCAAAGAGGTTCATGTGGAGTAGAAACACCGGTATAGAGTGGGTGCAATGTTTCTCTGCTATTCTAGATAATTCTACATTGTACATATGTTGTTCACTCATATACTGCGGATGCTGGAAATCTGAAATAAACTCTGAGAGTGCTGGAGAAACTCAGCAGATCTGGCAGCATCTGTGGAGAGACGATCACAGGTTTTAGTTCTTCAGAACTGGGCTCAAAATGTTAACTCTGCTTTCTCTGTCTACAGGTGCTGGCAGACCTGCTGAGTTTCTCCAGCATTGTCTGTGTTTGTTTTTACATTGTGTTAGAAGCATCCTTTGCCTGCGGGAATGCTGGTGTGATGGTAGTGTTCCCTAGACCTGTATTCCTATAGCCCAGGCTAATGTATTGTGCATGTGAGTTCACATCCTGTCATGTCAACCATTGGAACTTAAATTCAATTGATCAATCTAGACCATGATGCTAAGCTGTTGGCTATCATTAAAAATCTATCTCGTGACCTATCACAACAGAGCTGACTTTTAACTGCCCTCCGAAATGGCCAAGCAAATTGGCGATGTCAGTGATCCCTAGGAGCAGGAATAGGCCATCTGGCCCCTTGACCCTGCTCCGCCATTCAATAAGGTCGTGGCTGATCTTTTCATGGACTCAGCTCCACTTACCCACCCTCTCACCATGACCTTAATTCCTTTATTGTTCATAAATCTATCTATCTTCTCCTTAAAAACATTTGATGAGGTAGCCTCAACTGCTTCACTGGGCAGGAAATTCCACAGATTCACACAATCCTTTCGGTGAAGAAGTTCCTCCTCAACTCAGTCCTAAACCTGCTCCCCCCCCCCCACTTATTTTGAGGCGATGCCCCCTCGTTCTAGTTTCACCCGCCAGTGGAAACAACCTCCCAGCTTCTATCTCATCGAATCCCTTCGTAATTTTATATGTTTCTAGAAGATGCCCCTCTCATTCTTCTAAATTCCAATGAGTACAGTCCCAGGCTACTCAATCTCTCCTCGTAAGCCAACCCTCTCAACTGAAAGAATGAAGGAAATGGGAATGATCTAAATTTCATTCCTTGTTAGTATTGAGTCAGTATAAAGACTGAAGGGCTGAAGGGCCTGTACTGTGCTGTACTGTTCTACATTCTATGCTCTATTAGTCACCTTCAGACAGTGGGCAGATATGTCCAGCAGAGGGCACTAGATCAGAAGCAGAATCCCCTTTGAGCTTCTCTCCATTGACCAACATTGAGATCAGATACTTTAATGCAAACTGACAGACAGATGTGTAACCTCCCCAGTATGCCTATGTCACTGAATAAACATGTTGAGATCCTGCAAAGAAACTACTTCATAAGGGAGATTGCATCTGGAGTAGTGGTTAGCACTGCTGCCTCGCAGACCCAGGTTCAATCCCACCCTCAGGCAACTGTCTGTGTGGAGTTTGTACATTCTCCCTGTGTCTGCGTGGGTTTCCTCCAGTCCAAAGATGTGTAGGTTAGGTGGATTGGCCCCATTGTGTCTACAGTGGGATGCTCTTCAGAGGGTTGGTGCAGGCTGAATGGCCTGTTTCCACACTGCAGGGATTCTATGATTCTGTCCAATCCCAGTGGCTTCCTGTGATAAACCAACTGAAATGTAGTTTGTTCATGTTTTTCATCTCTCATATCCATCTACTTGTATAAACCTGTTTGTCTTTGCTTTTTATAGGTAAGAGACATGTACATTCGGTGCTTTAGGAAGTGTTTGAGGAGACCATATGTATGGACACCCCTTTCCACCTCCAGCTTAAAGACATCCAACCAGGTAAGATGCAAATACAACTCGTGATCAGTCAGGGGAATCCAGGGTTCCAGGGAAAGGACAGGAAAGAGGGTGTGAGCTGTGTCAGATCAGCCATGATCCTATTGAATGGTGGAGCAGACTCGAAGGGCCAACAGCTTACTCCTGTTCCTATTTCTTATGGTCTTATAGTCAAATTCTTCTATCAAATCATGAATAGGAAAAGTTGAGAGGGATATGGGCCAAACACAGGCAAAAGGAATTACTTCAGTTTAGGAAACCTGGCAGGCATGGACGAGTTGGGCCGAAGGGCCTGTTTCCATGCCATATGAAGTATCTATGACTGTATAAATCCTTGCCATCAATGTCTACTATACCATCGAATAGAACTTGTGTGAAACACTAGGATGTCCTGCCTTCACATTTCCATAAATATAGCCAACATTTCCAATGTAACCTATCCAAGATTGAAATCAGACACTGGTACACTGCTGTATCATATTTGACAGCAAGATCCCAGTCATTCTGTAAATAACACTCGCAACAAAATCACACCTTACTCAAAAAAGACACTAGAATTTCACACTTATAGTTGTTTGATGTTTCTATTTTGGTGTCAGCCTTAAATCCATCCATAGCACTCAATGCTAGAAGAAGGGGGCACAGTTTAAAGATAGTGGAACTCCTGTTTAACAGGGACCCTTTGGTCCAATTCGTCTCTGCCAAACAGAAATCCTAAATTAATTTTGTCCCATTTGCCAGCATTTGGCGCATATCTCTCTGAACCCTTCCCATTCATGTACCCATCCAGATGCCTTTTAAATGTTGTAATTGTACCAGCTTCCACCGCTTCCTCTGACAGCTCATTCCATACACACACCATCCTCTGTGTGAAAAAGTTGCCCCTTAGGTTCCTTTTAAATCTTTCCCCTCCCTTCACCTTAAACCTATGCCCTCTAGTTTTGGACTCCCCTACCCTGGGGAAAAAGACTTTGACTATTTACCCTATCCATGCCCCTCATGATTTTATAAATCTCTATAAGGTCAACCTTCAGCCTCCGATGCTCCAGGGAAAATAGCCCCAGCCTATTCAGCCTCTCCCTGTAGCTCAAAACTTCCAACCGTGGCAACATCCTTGTCAATGTTTTTTGCACCCTTTCAAGTTTAACAGCATCTTTCCTATATCAGGGAGACCTTAATTGAATGCAGTATTCCAAAAGTAGTCTAACCAATGTCCTGTACAGCTGCAACATGATACCCCAACTCCTACACTCAATGCATTGACCAATAAAGGCAAGTGTACCTTCTTCACCACCATGTCTACTTGTGACTCCACCTTCAGGAATTATGAACCTGCACTCTAAGGTCTCTTTGTTCAGCAACACTCCCCAGGACATTATTATTAAGCGTATCCATTGAGGAATAAATATTAGTCACCAGGAAGGACACGCCCTTTCTTCATTGAATAGCGGACATGGGGTCACTTACATCCACCCAAGAGCGGATGAGCTTTGGTTCCAAACTTCACCCAAACAATAACACCTCAGACAGTGTGGCACTCCCACAGTACCGCACTGGGGAGCATCAGCTTAGCTTTCAGCGTACTAGTCTCAGAAAGCTGGGTTTAAAAATCACAGCTTTCTGATTCAGAGGCAGAGGTGAGTATCACTGAGACACAACAGACAGTTCTAACCACTTTGGTTAGAACAAAAGCCATCACCTCAAGAACTTCCTTTGCCTAACTCATTGTTTCTATCTTTCCTCTCTAAGGGGCGGAGAAGCGTCCAGGAGACAGAATCGACGTCTGGGGCAGTTCAGTGACATAGTTGTGAACATATTGGGCTGTAACCTCTCGCCATACCTCAGTTAATGTGGCTTCAAGTTTTACCACTTGCTGCAACAAACTCATCAAGCCCTGGACATCCTTGTTTATACCAGACCAGGGCTGCACGGGGTCACTTTCTCTCTCTATTGTTATATCACACTGCTCATTCCCAAACACTGGAAATCCCAAAAATGGGTAACTATCGTGGGGGGATATAACACGGGACTAGCTGTCAATATGAATTCTCCCTGGTTTATCTAAAATACATTCGTTGCTTAACTAATATCTAAAATCAGATTTAGTTTATTGTCGTTTTAGGGAGCTTGTTGTGCACAAATTGGTTATTGTATTTCCTTCATTCCATTGGTGACTGTACTTTCAAAAGTACTTTATAGGCTGCGAAGCATTCTGGGGCATCGCTAGACTAGCAAACGGACCATGTCAATGCAACTTCTTTCTTTTAATGAATTTTTAAAATTGTCAACATCTCTACTGCACTAGAATCTGTAACAAATAGCTGTGATTTGCCTCCTTTTGTTTCCTTTTTTTTAAATGATATTTTCACAGTGGAGATGCTAGTTTTTGAGATCAGTAGGCACAGGAGGGATATGAAGGTAAAGAATTTAAGTGGTACGTAAAACTCCCAGGGTTATGTCTCTGATATTTGTCTCTATATTATATGTCTCTGATATGTCTTCTTCATTTCTGAAGGAGGGTCTAGGCCCGAAACGTCAGCCTTCCTGCTCCTCTGATGCTGCTTGTCCTGCTGTGTTCATCCAGCTCTACACCTTGTCATCTAGGGTTGTGTCTCTGTTGCTGATAACTCAGATTCAGGCTGGACACTGAAGGACACATAATTCTCTCATACAATGACTGCTAACCCTCGATCCAGATAGCATGAGTTCAAGCCCTGCCATGGCATGTTTGAGAATTTGAATTCGGTTAAGAAAAATGGAATGTCCACAAAAGTGACAGAAAGTTGTTAACTTGTCATAAAACCCCAACTAGTCCATTGAAGGCTTCCTGTCCCAATCCTATCTGTACACAAATTCAGAAAACTAACAGCGGGTGGTATTGAATAGTCCATCAACATCTTCTTCAGACCAGCTGGACGTGGACAATGAATTTCCTAAAGATGTTCAAATCCAAGTTCTTTATTCTAGCACTTGCCCGGCTGAGTGCAGCAGTACCAATGCTCAGAAATCTCGACACCATCTGGGACAAAGCAACCCGCTCGCTCAGCACCCCATCCACCACCTTCAATAACCACTCCCTCCACCACTGACGCTCAGTAGTAGCAGTGTGTACCATCTACAGGATATACTGCAGCAACTCACCTTCCAAACCTAGTCACCACTTCCACCTAGAAAGGCAAAGGCAGCAGACACATGGGAGCACCATCCCCTGTATGATCCCCTACGAGCCACTCACCATCCCGACTTGGAAATATATCGCCGCTCCTTCACTGTTGCTGGGTCAATATCCCGGGATTCCCTCCCTAAGGGCATTGTGGGTCGACCCACAGCAGATGGACTGGAGCTACCACCTTATTGAGGGTGATTAAATGCTGGCCCAGCCGCGATGCCTACATCCTGTGAACAAATATATAAAGAAAGGCTCATGTGGACAGTAAGTGTTACTGGAACTAGTATTTCCTTGTAATTCATCCAAACAGCCAGACTTCCTGAATAGGCTGATAGAGGATCAGCACTACGAACTATTTATCTCTCCAGTCTGCTGCGCCATTAAATTTGATCTTAGGTGACTGGCAGTCCAACTCCATTTACCCATATGGATTCTGTAACGCTTCCTACTCGCTTTGTCACTAAAAAGTGTTTCAAAGCTGGTACCTAACCCTTTCTTCAAGTGACAGTCACATTTCTGACATTCGTAATCACATATCTGCGATAAGTGTTCAGGATCTGACCACACTATCATTTCTCTCCAGAACTGAGAACTGCTTCAAAGTTTCCTGTTGATCTTTACATAGAGGACACAAGAGAAGGGCCAAACAGAAGAGACATGGAAAGGGAGGGAAGGGAGGGTGGAGTCGTTCAAGTGAATCATTGTTCCTTGAAGCGGCTTGATTCATTTATCTATTAGCATCTGAAGTTAGAAAAGTGATGCATAGTTTGACACCCGAGGCTAAGGGAGAAAAGAAATGGGGCGAGACTAAAATGATGGAAAACGGAACAAATTCGAAAAGCATGGAAAATATTAGACAATTCTAAATGCTTACAAAAGATACTTCTATCTATTAGCAATGGCAAGGAAATTGAAAAGGAAACTTGATTTTGTAAATATGAAAGAATCTGGTACTTGTCAAGTAAGATTAAATATTGGTAAGAATATATATTTGTATGATAGAAGATTCTCTATTAAGGTATTAACTGTTATTTCACCGAAATGCTGATATAAGCTGTGCCTCTGGAGTGGAATAAATATAGATTTCAATCTAAATGTTGTGTAATTGTTCTATAATACACAAACGTTTACAATTTCAACACATTGCATAACTATATAACATGCAGATATATTGCATGACCATCAAACATTGTGTTAGAATTTAATATCACGAGGTATTGCAGCTCTGTCTTTTATATGGCTGCATGTACATTTAATTATTACACATCTATCATGCACGTTATCATACAATAAATGACATTTATCAACATCATGCAATAAGAAGTTATCACATAGACGTATATATGGAAGTTACATCACAGATTATTATGCAAGCGGGAATAAATTGTGCCCAAATTTCACTGTGAACACAGCGGCGAAATATACCCAAAAGCATGTCTTGGACATGAATTCTTCTTTATCGTCATGGTCGTTTGAAACTGGTGTGAAACCAGGGGGACCACCAAGCAACGAACACCAGTGATATCATCAATCAGGGTGAATAACCATTCACATTGAAGAATTCTCACAGACAGCAAACCAGTTGGCAAAACACTCTAATTTTTTTAAAAAACAAAATGTCACTTTTGGTCAAATTTTTTACAGAATGAAGTGGACGTTGGGACAAAACCATATAAACCATGAAGTAGAAACTGAACTATCGTTCTAACAAGGTTTTGTTTAAAATAAGGACTTCTTTATCACAATAGAAAAGCTGGTATCCCACAGTGTATAAAATTAGTTTTGCAGGTGCCAGGGCTAGCTGTGCAGAAGTAACTATGAACCTGATTCTCTCACGGCAACGGGCTCTAATTTCAGAGGCCTCTTGTGACGCAGTGGTAATGTCCCTACCCCTAGACTAGCAGGCCCGGGTTCAAGTGACACCTCAACAGGGTGGTGAGAAAATAGGGGTTAAAAACCAAACGACATATCGATCAATAAGGTGTAAATTATAAGTTTTGTGATGCATTGAACACTGTTACCATGGTAAAAAGCGAAAGAACTGTGGCATGATGTAAATCAGAAACAAAAAAATAGACGTTGCTGGAAAAGCACAGCAGCATCTGTGGAGAGAAATCAGAGTTAACGTTTCAGGTCGAGTGACCCTTCCTCAGAACTGATGGTGCTAGGAAAATGTTGTTTTACATGCAAAAGATAGGGTGGGGGGAGGGGATCAGGAGTAAACAAGAGGTGGGTTTAGAGTTGTCGCGGTAACACTTTCCAGTTCAAAGATTTCTAATTGCTTGTATTGAACCCCAGCAACATCTGCAGAATGACAACAACTTTTCAATTTCTGCGCACGGGAGGTCTCTGAAAATTTCCACTAGATGTAAAAGAGTCACGAGGATAAAGGCTGATGGTTTCCATCAGGCAGAGACTTTCTGTCTGCTTACCCCTCTCTCCCCCCCTTATAGGGTCATCGTTTTGAGAGGGTTTAGGGACTAGGCTGTGGGACTGAGGTGCAGAGACAACCACGTTTCCTTCAGAAAGAGAACATTTAGGGCCGCACAATATGAAGAACTTGAGGCACAACCTGTGGAGGGGGAAGTTTGCTCGAGAGGAATGGGGTAAAAGTGACACGAATGATGACATTTTTTTTGCAGGAAGAGCTTCAGTTCTGGAGTGCGGTACGCTGCCCGAGAGTGTGGTGGAGTCAGGTTCAATCTAGGCACTCAAAAGGAAGCCTCGCTGTGATTTGAGAAGGATTGATGGTTGGCAATGAGTGAACACTCATTCAGAAGGCTAACGCAGCCACAATGAGCCAAATGGCCTCCTTCCACACTGGGTTAATTTTGTGATTATCCCTGTATATGACGATATATTATTTTCCTGCCTGAGGAAAACCCTCAGTCTTTATCCTCATGTCCTCCTCTCCCTCTGGCACAAAATCCTGGAAACATAAATGACTCATCACAGAAGGGCACTTTATTTCTTTTAAGTATTTTCACAAAAAAAGAAGCTTTTTGCCATAGCTATTTCAATGCCTGAACTACCCTGTCACCATCCAACAACGACAGCCTCTGCCTCTCACCCTCACATTGGATTATCACTGACTCACATTCGCAAGGGAGTTACAGAGTCATAGAGGTTTACAGCACGGAAGCAGGCCCTTCAGCCCAACTTATCCATGCCGCCCACATTTCACAATTAATCTAGTCCCATTTGCTACGCTTTTAGACCTGTAGAATGATAATTTTAAAAAAAATATCACTGCAACCAAAACCATGAAAATCGAGAGAAAAAAAAAATCTTTCCTGGAAGACCAGTCATGATCTCATCGAATGGTAGGACAGATTTGAGGGGCTGAATGGCCCACTCCTGTTCATTTATTCCCATGTGATAGTGAAGTCGAGATTTTTCTTCCCTTCAGTTGGTTTGTTCCAGGGCGAGGAGAGTTGAAAATGGACCAAGGGCATCGCATTTGCCTCTCTTGGTCCAATCTGATGGACTGTAGTGTTAGTTTCCACTTGATGAGACACCATGTGGGTGAGGTGCCTTTTGAACATGCATGGCTGGGCTCCCTGATCTATCAATGGATCTAAAGCCTGAATGCTTCACCATTAAATCAAACCATCAGAAAGAGGAGCCTGGGATAGAAGAGGTCCAACAAGCTTGAAGCTTGAAGCTACTGAGCTTGGATTCCAATAGGCAAGACAGACGTCGAGTGTACTTCTCTCTCCCACATAGGAACCTTTGGCCCTCTCTTGTCTTGGGCCACTTCTCATCAGTCCCTGACTGTGATCCCGGACAGAGTGTTTACTTTGGCATCTTGGGGAAGCTGATCAGTCTCCTGTTGCCTGACCCAAACCATCAGGGATTTGCCCCACTCCCACCGCTTTCGCCCACTCCCCCACCCCCCTACTGGCCATTCAGGCCGTGCTGACAAAATCAGGCCATAACAACAGGCCCCTGTCTGCCTTTTACAGGCAAATCTCTGACATCGCTGCATTCCATCCCGGCCATTAACACCGAGCCTAAAACTCTTTGTCTCTCTTTCTCTCTCTCTCCATCTTTCTCTGCAATCTTTCTTTACCTGTTGACTCTTAAGGGGCTAGATGCTCCCCCATCAGTGGGTTTCAAGGTAGGTACGTGGCTGATGCAGGGGGCTAGTATAATATAGCTAGCGGCCTGCGCACTTGTCCCCAATCTGTGTCCCACTTTCTGGTGGAATGGGCAAGGTCTGTAACCAACTGTCCACACCTCACCCTATGCCCTTCAGTATTAAGCTCATGCCTAGGGATGGCGTAGCCCATGCAAGTAGCCTGTAGCTACATGGTTTGGAGCTGGGCTAGGGAGGGCATGACAAGTCTGTCTGGTGAGTCAAGTTCCTCATGAGGAACGTCCTTCCTGGGTTTACCCAGTCTAGTCCTGTTAGAATGTTGTAGGTTTCTACCAAGAAAACCACCCACCCTCCCTCAGTATTGTAAACTCCAGTGAATACAATCCTATCAATCTGGTTTCTCTTCATTAGTCAGTCCTGCCATCCCAGGTATCAGGAAGATTAAAGATTTCTTCCATTTGCACAACGTCCTGTCACAACTCAATGCCATCTCAAAGTGCTTGCCATCAGTGAATTACTTCTGAATTACAGTCACTGCTGTAATGAAAGAAACTGTACAGAGAATGTGAACACAGCAAGATCCCACAGCCATGTTCTAATGGCCAGGCGACCGTGAGAGCTGGTTGAGAAGTAAGTATCATCCAGGACACCAGGGAGATTGTGCTCGCTCTTCTTCAGAAGAGTTGGAGAATTGGATCTTTTCTGTTCATACATCAGCAGACCTAGTTCAGTCTGTAAGAGGCTCTGACCTCTCAGAACTCACTCAGTGATGACCCCCCTCCCAGAGATTCAGGTTGTGTCTTGTCGTTCGGGTCATTGGAATTGAATTTGAACCTACACCTTAGGAGCTTACAGTGCTGTCCACTTCGCCATGGCTGTCCTTTACCGACAACGGAATCAACACACTTTGGATTCTTCTTAAATTTTTTTGCGCGCCTATTTCATTTTCCGTAGTTCGTCTGACTAAGACTGATCATTCTATCATTGAAATGCATGTCCTTATTGTGGCTGTGTCTGTGTGTCATTCTTTGATTGGTAACACCCTTCTTACATTACTCTCTAGACTACTTGGGAGTTTATATGTTCTTATGAGATACCCTGTGCTCACTCCCCACCCCCACCATCATTCTTCTAAATTCAGCCCTGCCATCCCAGGAATCAGTCTGGTACACCTTTGTTGCTCTCAATGCATAGCCATAAACTCCTTCCTCAGATACAGAGACCAAAACTGCACACAATACTCTAGATGCGGTCCCAGCAAGGCCCTGTACAGTTGCAGCAAGAACTTAGTTCCAAAACTGGATAAATATGGATGCTGAACATCTGAAATAATATAACAGAAGGTGCTGGGAATATTATTATTCCAAAATCCACCTCTCTTCAAAACTTTTAAAAATTTCAAACCCTGCATTTACCAGGTATGTGGCTACGTGTACGGATGATCCTTCCACAATGCGCATGCAAATTGTGGGAACATGTTCCCAAACACCCACTTCTTATATACAATAATCCCATTCCTGACAATGGATTGGTACAGTCTCTACAGTGTAGGCAAAGGAAGGATGTATCCTCTGCCAAGTAGCTAAGGAGAGAGGGTCACAACCTAAAATCACGGCATACAGTCTCAGAATAAGGGGCTAGGACCATTCAGGACTTAGATAAAGAGGAACTTCTTCACTCAGAGGGTAATAAATCTTTGGTATTGTCTACCCCAGAGGGTTGTGGAGGATCAGTCGTTTGGCATGTTCAAAACAGCGATGGATAGATTTCTAGATATTAAAAACATCAAAGGATATTGGGGGGAGGGTGGGAAAATAATGTTGAAGTGGAATATCCACCATGATCTCATCAAATGGCCAAGCAGGCTTGAGGGGCCAAATGGCCTGGTGCTGCTCCGACAATGTACAATTTCTCCCCCATTTTGTCGGTGCCATCTTCAATTGGTCAGTTCCACATCCTCAATCAGTCCATCACCACACAGCAACAGGCTCTCATT